GTTAATTGATATCTCTGGCAAACAAACTGATTCACCTTATGACTATGTCAATAAAACGTCATTGAAAGTGGAATTATAAACGGTAGTCGCATAACAAAAAATATGGCCTACGGGTTTGCCTCGCATCGAGTTCAACGATAACAAAATCCATTGTTTAAAGAATCATAGTGCAATGATATTAGGCGCACATATGTATGTACATTCTAAAATTTGCTTAGTCTATTAAATTTTCAATAGACGCAAAACGTTTGTTTATTGCGAAAATGGGAGTACGACTGATAAGAACAAATTTGTATTTGGGTGGTCCGCCAGCAGATAAGCTTGATTAGCTTGTTAGGATTCCCTAGCAATAGCGTAAATATTTACGGGCATTCCTGAAACTACTTTTTTATACTTTTGGCTTGGAAATATATGTACATATGTATATTAATATAAATATTAATATATCTCAATCCTGAATATTCCTCAATATTGTGAATATTAGTGAAAAGGTAAAGAGCATACAAAGAAATACAACAAAAATATTTTTATAAATTTAATTTACGTATTATTCAGCATAAATTTTATTTTTGATTTTTCCGTAATTTATGAAACAAACCTTGGCAATGTTCTACGTCTGGCAACGCCAACGCCTAACTGCATATCCTTTGAAGAGAACGGCGCTGCAAATTATGTGCTCTCTCCGATGTGTTTGTTGAAATGCTCTCTCTGTGTTTGTTATTATTGTTTTTCTTACTTATCATTGGCCAGACAAAGCCAAATTGGCTTCCTACATTGAAAGCAGCAAAATCTAACCGGAATTTCAAACCAACATCGTCAGCCAAACAGAACGGAAGGCAAATGGCAAACAGCAATACGTGACATAGAGAAAGTAAAACAGACTAAAAGAAAAGAAATCAAATACTGTGCACTACGGCAGCATCGGTGTAAAAACCAATCAATTCAGAACAATTTCAATTCGATCAAAAGCAGGGACCAAAACCCTGGGCCAGCGTGCTAAATAAATGAAACGAAGTGTAACTGATTGATTTAACTTTTGCCTCACTGACTAGCTGGCTTACTAGACTACCGGCTGACTGCGTCACTGCCCCACGGGGTCATTGTGCTTGACTCTAAACTCAAGTCAATTTATCGCGGCCCCATTCCACTTCGAATGGATGTTGATGCCAAACAGTGACAAAGCGTGAAAGTGAAAACTAAGCTGAAAGGCAGGTAAACAGTTCCTGTGTGTGTGTGTGTCTGTTATGCTAATTTGCATGACAAATGCATTTATATTTGTGTTTTTGTGCACCTGCTGAGTGGTTCCAGAAGTGTGTTTAATTGCATTGCGGGCAAATGGCGATTGTGTTAAAAGCATTAACATAGATTTGAACACTGAAGCTCGTTATCACTCCAAGGAACGCAATCACATCTACATAGAACAGTTAGTTCAACGTGTGTGTATGTGCGTGCGTATGAGTGGGGCGGGGCTGAAGGTACGGCCACACTTGCAAATTCTTTAATCAGTGCTTGCAAATAGCGTTTAAAATTTGCAAACTCAGAATTTGCTGCATGCAAATATTTGCGATAATGATCAGGTTGATTTCCCTTTGCTTCACATCGATATTGTTTTATATGTGATAGCAAAACCAATATTGGACATTTGGCAAAAGATAAGAAGCATCTACATGTGTATGTGTTGTAAATTTTGACTATTTCAATATTTTAAAATTGCAATTTCAGCTGAGCAAGTCTGATCGTAGCTTAATGCCTTTTGCCTGCGACGCTGCAATCGTCATCATCACCATATTCATTATTAAGTTTGCAATCAACGCTGCTGTGAAGCAACGCCGGCCGGGCACAACAAAACCAGCTACCAAGTAACAGCGAATTTACATTACGTGTTTTAAGAGTTTTCTTATCAACAAGCAAATTGAAATGGCTGATTAGTTTTTTGCCATTTAAATTTGAGAGTGCTTACAGATTTGAAGTCGGCATGTGTGTTTTTCGTTGTACATATTTACATAATACATACATAGCAGGTCTTGCCCGTCTTTGATGGGCTCAGTTTTTTAGCTCACAATTATAAGTTTATTTACAATATGCTATTTCTCTTTCGGCACTCTCTTAAGTTTCTAAAGGAACTGCCAAAAGCAAATTACATTGTTACGTTCCGAAAGGTAGGACATATAGTAAAATACATACCTTGACCATAGAAGTAGTATTTATATACATATGTATATTGTATGCATGTAAATTTCTGAAAAATCAAGTAATAATTTTGTGGAATTAAATTGTGAGATTTCTGATAAATTAAATAAAAATATTTTTACGGCGCCTTCCTCTGCGATTCTCATACTAAGTACCTAAGCGCTAGCAAATCGAGAAATAAATTGTAAAATTTCTGAAAAATTAAATAATAATAATATTGTGGAATTAAATTGTGAGATTTCTGGTAAATTAAATGAAAATATTTTTACGGCGCCCTCTGCGATTCTCATACTAAGTACCTAAGCGCTAGCAAGTCCAGAATTAAATTGCAAAATTTCTGAAAAATTAAATAATAATATTGTGGAATTAAATTGTGAGATTTCTGATAAATTAAATGAAAATATTGTGGAATTAAATTGTGAGATTTCTGATAAATTAAATGAAAATATTTTTACGACGCCCTCTGCGATTCTCATACTAAGTACCTAAGCTCTAGCAAGTCCAGAATTAAATTGCAAAATTTCTGAAAAATTAAATAATAATATTGTGGAATTAAATTGTGAGATTTCTGATAAATTAAATGAAAATATTGTGGAATTAAATTGTGAGATTTCTGATAAATTAAATGAAAATATTATGGCCGTCGTCCTCTGCGATTCTTATACTGAGTACCTAAGCGCTAGCAAATCGAGAAATAATTTGCAAAATTTCTGAAAAATTAAATAATAATATTGTGGAATTAAATTGTGAGATTTCTGATAAATTAAATAAAAATATTGTGGCCGCCCTCCTCTGCGATTCTCATACTAAGTACCTAAGCGCTAGCAAATCGAGAATTAAACTGCAAAATTTCTGAAAAATTAAATAATAATATTGTGGAATTAAATTGTGAGATTTCTGATAAATTAAATGAAAATATTGTGGAATTAAATTGTGAGATTTCTGATAAATTAAATGAAAATATTTTTACGACGCCCTCTGCGATTCTCATACTAAGTACCTAAGCTCTAGCAAGTCCAGAATTAAATTGCAAAATTTCTGAAAAATTAAATAATAATATTGTGGAATTAAATTGTGAGATTTCTGATAAATTAAATGAAAATATTGTGGAATTAAATTGTGAGATTTCTGATAAATTAAATGAAAATATTATGGCCGTCGTCCTCTGCGATTCTTATACTGAGTACCTAAGCGCTAGCAAATCGAGAAATAAATTGCAAAATTTCTGAAAAATTAAATAATAATATTGTGGAATTAAATTGTGAGATTTCTGATAAATTAAATAAAAATATTGTGGCCGCCCTCCTCTGCGATTCTCATACTAAGTACCTAAGCGCTAGCAAATCGAGAATTAAACTGCAAAATTTCTGAAAAATTAAATAATAATATTGTGGAATTAAATTGTGAGATTTCTGATAAATTAAATAAAAATATTGTGGCCGCCCTCCTCTGCGATTCTGGCAAATCGAAAATTAAATTCTGAAAATTTCTGAAAAATTAAATAATAATGTGGAATTAAATTGTGAAATTTCTGATAAATTAAATAAAAATATTGTTGCCGCTTCATTCTCATACCAAGTACCTAAGCGCTGGCAAATCGAAAATTAAATTCTAAAATTTCTGAAAAATTAAATAATATTGTGGAAGGAGGTGTTTGCCAAATCTGACTATAAAATTCCATTTTACGAATTACGAGAGTTATGGAACATCAGTGATTGTGGTGGAAAGGGGGAGGTAGGGAAATTCCAAAATACGTATTTAAATTTGGTGTCCCTATTTCTAATAGTCTCCGAGATATAGGTGTATATATGGATCATATGCGTTATCACTGCAACTAATTTAAAGCCCGTGCAACTTTCCCCGCAAACTTTTGCAGTTACACTTTAGTCTCCCACTCTCGGACTTGCTCTCAGTTGCACTGGTTTCACTCTCTGGCCTTTTGCAGACAATGTTACCAAGTGCAGTTTAAACGTTGACTGCGCTGCAGGCGACGTTTATGGTGTGCTCAGCTGCTGTCTATTGTGAATTGCTTGTAAATAGCATAAATTAGCATGCAAAACTTTTAATTGCTGTTGCGCGGGCAAGAATATATAAAAAAGTTTGTGTGCAAGGAATAGAAAAAAGATGAAAATTGTGGCCGCATGGTATAATTGGAAGAGTATAGGGGAAAAGCAGAAATCGTAAAGCATTAACAAATGCATTAATTATGCAATAAAAAGTAATTTCATATCGCATTAAATTTGAATGAGCAGCAAAATGAAGGAAGTTTCCAAAGGCCATGCATATCTATTAAATAATCCATGAACGATACAAGTGCTTTTTGTATGCTGTCCGGGAGGGACTCAAATTTGCGTCAGCAAGTGAAAAAGCGGCAATATATATATGTATGTACATATGTATGTATGTAGCTCTTGTTGTTGTTGTGTTTGTTGTCATCAACGCTTGCGGCGCGTGGAAAACTAAACATCTTGTTAGTTATTGTGTATTTGCTGTATGAGAATGAATGAGAATAGTATGATGTCGGAAGACCTACATTGAAAAGAATTTAAAAATAGTTCACACACAATTTCACTTTTTGGCCCCAGGGCATGTGTGTGTGAAAATGTGCGTGTGTGCTGGCAAAAATAACAAAAGAATGAAGGAAAATCAATAAGCTTTTAAGATATCACTTCGATGCTAATCGAAAACTATGTGCCAATTTGTTGTGCACAAGCCTGTGTATATGTGTATGGGTTGAGAATGTAACAATAAGTTTACAATTTTTATAAAGGAATCTCTCTAATATATTGTAGTTCTTTTGATCTTTGCAGGTGGAAGCGGGAGATGTTATATTAAAAGTCAATGGCACCGATGTACATTGCTATACAACGAAAGAAGGTGAGCTGTAATATTTGTTGTGTTTGTTGTTATAATCACTCATTGTTTAATACTTTTAGTACTGAAATGCCTGCGCTTGTCGGAACATTTAGTAACCTTGGAACTGAAACGAGGTAATTCATTGAAGCTCCTAAATGATGATGAATTGTTGTCATTCATAGATGCCCAACTATCTTTACTCTACTCTATACAGATCCTAAACTGAAGGCACGCATTAAAGAGCAATTGGCGAACACGCAAAGTCCGCATTATGCGGAAATAGAATCTCCGAATATATACGATTATAGCAGCAGCACAACTGGCTCGCCAAATTCAACCACAACTACACACCAACGACAGCAACAACAACGTCTGCTCTTCGACTCGCCGAAGCATAATAATACAACAGCACAGCAGAACAGAGGCGTTGCCACGCCCACGCACACAAATTCGCCGGCATTGCGTTTTAAGTCTCCGACACATTTACCTTCCCTGGTTCCCGTAGCTGCCACGTCGACCACAACGCACACACACAGTCGCAATTCTTCCGCATCTTCCACTAAGATACAAATTGTGGAGACCACGACAACAACTAGTTCATACAACGCGTTAATATCACCCACAGGATCGGCAGGAGGAGGTGACTTAGGCGGCGCCACGTCGCCAACGGCTCGACCCTCACGCATTCCACAGGCCCTGAAATGTGCCGCACCAAAGCCCGTGCCCGTGTTGCACTCTCCGCAAAATAAGAGACCACGTCCCTCTCAAATACCCACAAAAGCTAGCGGCGGTAGTGGCGGCTGTGCTGTAGCGGCCTCCAACGGCAACACAAACACTCAGCAACAACAACCGCTGATCCACTCGAACAGCTACAGCGGCAGTCCGGTGACGGGCCAACGAAACCAGCCCGAACCGGAACCCAATTCGGCGCCCCCGCAGCCAGCAAAGGCGCCACGCTTTGAGGCTTATATGATGACCGGTGACAAGATACTGAATCTTTCGAGGACACCACAAACCATAAATTTGTTGACGGCACATGCCAAAAAGGTCCGCAAACAAACTATTGTGTAACAATCAAGCTTGTCCCTTTTTCAAAATTCGTTTTCAATCAAAGTAATAACGACATTACTTGTATAAAAAGCTCCATCGATTAGTTCCATGGGTTCTTTTGAATAGAATAGAAATATAATAGGAATAGACCTGCTTATTTATGATTTATATTTAAGCACCTTTTTTAAAAGAGAGAGTTAGAATGTTAGCATGTTGATTCAAAGTGAATAGCTAGCAAATAGTTAGCATCTGACAAGGGTTCCTTTATTTTTCTCACTATGATTTCTGCGAAAATATTTCCTTACAACAATCATAAAATCGAAAACTTTCGGCTGCTAAAATTATGCTCGATATGTCCTAATCGCTTTTATACTAGAACTACTTTGCTTAAATGCTATTTAATGTTGTATTATTGAGAGGATTTGCTAAAAACAAATATTGTAGTTTGAGTAAAATTTGATTAGGAAATCCAATCCAAAATCATATTTAGTACCCAATGTAATATCCATACTAATTATAATTTACTTGCAGGTGGACAGCCTACGAGATTCTCCTAACCGTAGTAGTGCGCGGGCCAACGGCGCATTAGCACCACGGGCATCTGGCGAGTCGTCGCCCACATCTTCGTCATCGGTGGACTCGCCTACCAATACCGGAAGTTCGGATTCGGTGAAGCGCGGGGCCAAACTGCAACGGGGGTTGCAACAACACCAGCAGAAGCTACAACAAGAGCGTGATAGCATTAACAACAGCTACAATCGAAGAGACTCGCTGACCAATGACACTTTGTTACTGTGCGAAGAGCTAGAGCGCGATGAGGAGGCGGTTGACACAAACGAGCAGGACAACATACGCCAGCGACAGCGGCAACAACAGTTGAAACAACAGAAGCAGCAACGCCTACAGCAACATCAACAGCAACAACTAAGCTACGAATACTATCAGAACGAAGACGAACTGGAGGAAGAAGAGGAGGAGAACGAAGAGGATCAAACACACTACGACATCACAAACATCGAAACATACCAAAGTGGCGGCGGCGTCGGTTTTGGTGCAGGAAGCAGTGGCGGCGGCGTTGGGGAGGAGGATGACAGCGATCGTCAGTATCTGGTCGATGACGATGCGTACGATGAAGAAAACGATGCCGGCGATGAGGACTATTCCACTAATTCGATAGGCTCAGGTTCGGCGAAACAACGATTGCGTGCTTTGAAGCAGAAAAGCCTCACGCGTCAGCATCAGCGAACTCGCGACGCTGTCGATTGTGCATCACGCACCGTCGGCTCCGGTTCCACCTCCTCCACGACGATGAAAAGCGAAGCTGCTCTGGGCATGGGTGCAAATACCTCGCAGGAGGAAACTTCCTTTTCAGTGCCAACATCACCCATTTCGCTTTCGACTCCACTCATCGACAAGGAGACCGCCAATTCAGTGCCCACCAGTCCGGAGCCGAGCTCTCTAGCGCCTGAGTCGAGCAGCGCAGCTGCTGGCGGCGTTGTTGTGCGACGCCACAACGGTCATGTGGTACGCAAATGTGATGCAGCCGGTTTTCGCACCAGCAAATCCGAAGATCATTTGCAGCAAATCCAACGCGAAGGCATTGCCGCTGTGATACCCATCGACATTGATGAGGATGTGAATAGTTCGTTGAATACGCTGCTGGATACTCGCCACGACTCGGAGGATTCGCAGGTAGGCGTCGAAGTGTCGCCTGAAGTGTAAAAATAGATTTTAAAAAATCAGTTTTTACATTGATTTATAGTGAATGTAGAAGTACCCCAGTAATAAGCAAATTAGTTCAAAAACATAAGTACAAGTATTCTGCTTAATTTAAATCGATTTGAAGCCAAGTTTTATTTAGTTGTAGCTGCTATATCTACTATAGCTACTATAGATCAATGTAAAAACTTCAGGAAAGTGCATTCAGAAAACCGTTTCCTACTAAAATTGAAAGCATTTTTAAAGTAATTGCATTTTTGCATTGGAAACATGGTATTCGAAGTCACTTGAATAGCAGCCCCTGTCAGCTCCAGTTCCAGTCCTAGTAGGCGTTAGTTTAAAGCGTCTCACGCCTTCATTTTACATACAATATTGCGAGGAATTCGGGAGGAACTACAAAACACGCCCAGTTCATTGTTACGAGTAGTGTTGCTCTTGTAGTTAAAAGTAGTGTTTTGTTCTCTGTGTTTCATTGTAGATTTTTAACGGTTGCTTGCACAAGTGAGCCACATAATGTCTTCAACCACATCAACCATTTCTGTACAATTAAAAAATAGTGCATCCGTGATCCTCATATCCATCCACCAATTAAATATATTTCCACGGAACTTAAGTTGTTAATTCCTGAATGGCAGGAAGTGGCTCGAGTCCCACTTTCAATTTGTGCCATTTGAGCTTTGATAACGCAAGCTCCGTGTCTGCTCATTTATTTAATATCTATGCTATTTTATTACACATACTTCCTCTATGTTCTCTATCTCATAACTCTGTAATTTCTATAACTTTGTACTCTCTTTTAACCATTTTCAACTGTGTATCTAGTTTTCTTTCTTTAATTTTGTTTAACTTTTCCTGTTGTTTCCTTTGATAAACTTTTTCTATGCATTTTCTTGCCGCGCGCTCCTAACTTTTAGTCAACAACAACAACGGCAACATCCACAACAGCTGAAACAGTAAGAGCAGCAACAGCAACAAATGCAGTTAACAACAACAACACCAACCAGTGCGAGGGCATCAGTCAAAATAACAATTATAACAACAGCAATAATAATAATAATAACAATGATATTCAAGAGCAGTTGCCACTTGTCGTTGATCTGCCACGCATAACTCTCGATGCAACTGAGGCAACAATTGTTGCTGCAACAACAGCCACAGCGACGCCAGCAACAACAGCAGCAGCAACTTCAACAATACCGGCAACCCGGGGCTGCAGCAACAAATTAAACTATATTTTACGTAAAAAGGTTGCTGTTTACTTTCTGTTGGCATGATGTAATAATGAGTATAAAGAAACTATTATCATTTGCTCTCTGTTTGAGTTTGGCTTGCGCAAGTTTTTTGTATCTATGTATGTATGTAGCAACAATTTAGCTAAAACAAAGCTTCTCCACATAAACGGCTACACATACAACACACACTCTCAGACCCACACACAAACACACACTCAGTGTAACACTAAAGAACAAACTATAAATTGAGGCAAAAAGTTAAACAAACATTGGGTACTGAAGGCAGCGACGGATAAAATAAAGCTCTTATCTGAAATAATTATACCTACCTTAGTAATATATGTATATGTATAGCTGGCATATGATAAATGAGAGTGACCTCCACTAATAATTCCTTTTCTTGCCATAGGCATCGAATCGCGATCGCATTGTCTGGACATACAATGCGCCATTGCAGCCGCACCAATTACAACAGTTACAGCAGCAGCAACAACTACAGCAACAGCAACAACAACAATACGCAGCAGTAGCGGCGGCAGCGGCAGCAGTACAACAACAACACTACGGTCAGCACTCGCATTCAAATTCACATTCAAGTTCCATTAGTTCTTCGCCTCAACACTCGGCCGGCAGTCCGGCATCACCCACATCGGTCTCCTCGTCCGTCATGTCGTCCTCAGGGTCGCGAGGGGCGCTCGGCATAGGCGCCCAACAGCAGCAGCAACAGCTGCCAGCCAATGGCAATGGCAATGATCAGACGACGGCTTCACAGCAACAGCAGCAGCACCAACAACAACATCAGGCGTCTAACTTCGGTCTGTTAACATGTCCTAGTGGTGGTGGAAGTGGTGGTGGGAATGGTAGCGGTGGCGGTGGAGGTGGTGGTGCTGGCGCCGGCGCTGCTGGCGGCGATTTAAGCGTATCAGAGGCCATTTCAAATATCTCTAGTCCCGACTATCAAGACGACGATAACTTATTGAGTTCTCGCGATATTCTAGGCGGCATGGTACTTAGCGATCCCAGCGACTCGGACTCCACAATACTCGTCTCGGATGCGGCTGCTCTGCAGCGCCAGCAACTTAAGCAGCAGTTGAAGGCGCACCATCAGCAGCAGCAGCAACAACAACAACAGCAGCAACAGCAGTCGGAACACAAGCTGGTTATACAAGTTCGAGGTCTGGATAATAGCAACAGTGGCAACAACTCGGCACGATCTGCATACTCGGAACTGAGGGAAGGCGACGACGATGTAGCCACATTGAGTGATGAGCCGCCGACAACAGTGTTGGCCGCTCAGTCGATGCGCGATGGTTCACCGCCCGTTTCGGACGATGGCAGCGATGTGGAATCTCTTCATTCGTATCATTACTCGCCCAAGGCTGTGGATATGCCGTCGGCCATACGGCTGGCCAAAAGACTGTACTCACTCGATGGTTTCAAGAAGAGCGATGTTTCGCGCCATCTCAGCAAAAAGTATGTCAAACATAATGCATTCTTAAAGCTTATAAGCGCGTGCACATTGTAGCTTTATACTAAATCTAATATAATAAAAATCAAAGCATTTAACTTTTTTTGGCACAGCCGTAGACCGTTTTCGAAGATAGAAGTAAAAAAGCAGCAAACTAGTTTTCCCATTTTGTTCATTCAATCTACTGAACGAAAAGAAGAAAGGGAGGGTAGTCTATTTAGTATTTCTCTATTGCTCGTATACTTTCAAAAGCTCCCAAGTTAGACGGGAAAATGATCTTTACTCATCTTATTCTTAGGGTAGTACGGAATAGAGAAAATAGTAGTTTTTTTTATATGAGGAAATGGGCTTAACTTATCATGTCTATCGGACTTAAATTAACTTCGAAATGTAATATGTAGTTTCAATGCTTAAAATTACAAATTATTTAGTAATTACTATTTTTATAACTAATTACACTTTATTAACCAACAACACTTTTTATTTCTGCATAGTAACGATTTCAGCCGCGCTGTGGCGGACGAGTATTTAAAACATTTTAATTTTGAGAAGAAAACATTGGATCAAGCATTGCGCGAATTTCTGCAGCAATTCTCGTTGTCGGGCGAGACTCAAGAACGCGAGCGCGTGCTGGTTCACTTTTCGAAGCGCTTCCTTGACTGCAATCCGGGCACGTTCAACTCACAGGATGCCGTGCATACGCTTACCTGCGCCATCATGCTGCTGAACACGGATCTGCATGGCCAAAACATAAATCGCAAGATGAGCTGTGCCGAGTTCGTGGACAATCTGGCCGATCTCAACGATGGCGAAAACTTTCCCAAAGATGTGCTTAAGTATTTGTATCAGGCCATCAAAACCAAGCCATTGGAATGGGCGCTGTGCGTATAAACATAACTTTTAAGACATTGAAACAAACATCAAACTCATCAAATCTGTTCAATCCTATAGTGATGATGATGCGGGCGATTTGCTGCAACGCGCCTACAATAATCCGCAGGCTACTGTGGGCCAAAATCCGTTCTTGGATGCTCCGGAATCTGCTACGGCCGTGGAATATAAGAAGGGCTATGTGATGCGCAAATGCTGCTATGATAGTAGCTATAAAAAGAGTAAGTCATGATCTAGAATAGTTCTCTAAATGATAAAATGAAAGTCTAAAAGTTGTAGTATATAATAATAAACTTTAACGAGAAAAGTTCTTGAAGTTTTTAGTGAAGCTAAATAGCTAGTAAAAATATTTTTTTTATTGGCTTATTCTTATTAAAGATGAGGAAGAAACTTTGCCTCAATTTATTCTCAACGTGTCCCAGGCTTCATCTCTATTGTACCATCAATTCATCAGTTCTTCTTTTCTTGGCAGCTCCCTTCGGTAAGCGTTCGTGGAAAATGTTTTACTGCACATTGCGTGATCTGGTCTTGTATTTGCATAAGGATGAGCACGGTTTTCGCAAAAGTCAAGTACGTATAGACGGTGCCGAGGTAGTTCAAGCTTAACAGATAATTTCCCTCTTTATATAATTTTATGTTCCACAGATGTCTGACAATCTGCACAATGCCATACGCATACATCACGCCCTGGCCACAAAGGCTAATGACTATACCAAGAAGCAACATGTGTTCCGGCTGCAAACAGCCGATCAGGCTGAATACCTCTTTCAAACCAGTGATTCCAAGGAGCTACAATCGTGGATAGAGACCATCAATTTTGTATGCGCCGCCTATTCGGCGCCACCACTAGAAGGCGGCGTAGGTAGCCAGAAACGATTTCAGCGCCCGCTACTGCCCAGTACGCAAACGAAGCTTCTTATGGTAAGTCAATATTACAGATACACATATGTTTACTATTGAAGCCAAATCCATTTTAATATATAACATGTACGTATTGCTTTGCAGAAGGAGCAACAGGAATCTCATGAGGTGCAGTTGGCGCAATTGGAACACGAGCTAAACGAGCATAAAAAGGCAGCCATGCCGAGCAAGGGTTTGCCATTGCAAAACTACAAAGAAAAGGAAAGCTATCTGCAATACGAGGTACATTTTTTTCAACTTGGACTCAAACTGAATATAAATAAATGATTAAATTGTAATTAATTGAACGTAACAATAATACGAAACCTGTCTTGTCTCTTTCGGGCATAGAGAAGAAAATATATCAGTTTCACACAAATTTCTATTCACATCAAATTGCTAATCTGTTCACTATGTTAACAGTTACGTCGCTATCGCACCTATGTGACCATCCTGAGCGCTAAACTGCTGGCCGATCAGCAACAATTGGAGCTGCAGCAGCAACAACAGCCACAGACGCCAACGCATGAGGAGGAGGCGGACACATTCCCGGTGGGCACGCCACCAATACGCCAGCCCGTGGCAACAACAACACCTTCTACGCCACAAAGTATTAATACTCAGCCCCAGCAACAGCAACAACAACAGCAGCCGCAGCAGCAGCAGCAGCAACAGCAACAACAGTCGACGAACAGCAGGTACAGTCATCAGCATCGCGCCGCCAACTCCGCTGCCACTGCTGGTCAGCAGCAGGACATTGGCTGACGCGTAATGGGAGTTTTCTCAGCTTGTGTGGTTTAACTGATGTATTGTTCAATGGTTTCTGTTGTTGTTTTTCTGTTTCTGTTTCAGTACGTTTCTACATTCAAGAATTTTGTGTTTTGTTGTTGTTTTACTGTGCTGTTGTTTCGTTTGGTTTTACATCGTGCTGACGTGCTTACTTTACTTTCGGTTTATTGCTCTGCTGTTTATACCCTGTACCCGTAGGGTAAACAGGGTATATTAGGTTTGTGCAAAGTATGTAACATACAGAAGGAAGCATCTCCGACCCTATAAAGTATATATATTCTTGATCAGCATGACGAGAGAAATCGATCTAGACATGTCCGTCCGTCTGTCCGTCCGTCTGTCCGTCCGTCTGGATGAACGCGAGGATCTCAGAAACTATAAAAGCTAGAATAACCAAAGTTGGCATCCAGATTCTCCTAGGTCCGAGTAAGGACGAGTTTTTCGTCAATAGCGTCCACATTTCAAATGCTACCTAAACCAAACTTTGCACATATAATTTATATATAATTGTCTACTGTTGTTCAAAATTTTATTCAATTCGGTCAATTCTAAGAAAAGTTATTAGCGAAACAAATTCTCGCCAGTACAACCCCCACAAACTGCAGCAACAAGTTCGCTCTTCTTCTTCCTCTTTTTGTTGCTGCTATGGGCGCATATAACTCAGTGACGGAAGTTTACCTGGGTACAGGGTATTACACTGTCGGGCTTGCTCGACTGTAGCGTTCTCTCTTGTTTTAACCTATATTCTTCGCACTTTCTTCATTTGTAAAATGTAAATATACGTATGTATATAAGCCATCCAATAATTTCAGAAGCATTTTGTTTTCGTTCAGTCGCAGCTTGTTATTAATTCAAATTACAACGAAAGCTTTAAATTCTACGGCAAACAGCTAACAGTTTTAATGCACACATACATATGTATCTAAAGATATATATGTATGTTTTTTACGTTGATATAGGTACTTGTGTACATAAAATAGCTGCTACTCTACAGTCAACAGTCTGACAAGATAGTTGCTTAAAACGGCGTTAAAAGCCAGAAAACAGAATTAGTTTTAAACATTTTCTTTTTTAATTTGCATTAGAAAGGTGAATGAAAACCACACAAATAACTGTGAAAACTCGAAAGCAAAATCTATGAACGTTTTAATAAACAAAAAAATAGCATTTAGCTTAAAGTTTTGAACACCAATTACCACAATTGGCCTAGTTCTAGAAAACTATTTTCTCGTAGCACTCGTCGAGACAAACAATTTATGACGTTACAAGAATAAAAAAAAACACTAAGTGGTTCAAATTATGTAGACAAGTTTACAGTTTATATAACTAGGCTTAAAGCATTCTTAAAATTATACATATATGAGAAAATGAGTTTTCAAAAAACGCACATTACAATACCAATAATGATATTTAAAACGGAAACATATTTAAAAAACGAACATCGTACATCAGTTTGCAAGTAAACGATATAAACAGAACTTGCTAAAAGCTTTAAAAAGTGCTAAAACGCTTAAACACACCCACAAAGTCTATTTCAAACAAAATGGAGCTCCAATAAATCAATGAGAGCTAAGCTGGAAATGTGTTTTTGTGTTCAACTTCGATTAAGTTGAAAATTGTTCCCCCTTTTTGCAGTAGACTTTGTGCACACATACCACACACTCACAACCACACACATTTGTTGTTGGTTTCACACACAATGTCGAAATGATTTTAAAGTTTTAAAACACTCACGATTAAGTACACACAAGCCACACACTTACACTCGATCATATATTGTTACAGTGTATAAAATTCATGCTAACCAAGTGGACATTCATGCCAAGGCTTTTAAGTTGAAACCAAGGCTAAGAACCCTTTAACGTTGCTGGTATCCAAGCATTTCCCCGCCCTCCCATCGTTTTGTTGTTACACTCAACGTCAACAATTTTGTGAATGCAAGAGAAAAACCAAAAGCAACATTCTTACACATTTTACAGATGGTTCGACGGCGACTGCTGCTGTCGCGCACTTTGGCGTCACTTGCACTTATCCAAGAGTACTTGAAACCCTAATTGTTATAAACACATTCCAGTTGTATAAATGCAACACACAACATTGCCTAGAAATATAAAATATATACTCGTATGTACTATAATATATAAAAGCAAACACACTCTCTCAGAGCAACAAGAGCAGCATCCAAAAAACGATTGCACTGGAGCTGAACGATGCACGCAACAACCAGAACAACAACAGCAACAAAGAGTCTCAAGTGGTGCGGTTTCCAAAACCAAAAACCAAACACCAAACAAATTCAGAACAAAAAACAAAAGAAAATGAAAACAACACACTGTGCCATAAATGTGAGCAAATGTTTTATGTAGTCGAAGAAGAAACAAACAAAAAGTGGGCGGGAGGTGAAAAGAAATTGCCAGAGAGACATCTTGAATAACAAAAGAGTGACAAAATTGGCAAAATTTGAGGGAAATTGAGTCTATTGGAAAGTTCGATACGAAGATTATTAATTAAAGTATTATGTTATCAGCTCCTATTCCTGTTCTTCAGCTAAAATGAATTCTCTTCTACAAATCGTTCAAATTGCATATGATATAGTGCACCTAATTTGATCGATTTTGATTCGATTCCTTCTCAGATTCTAGTTTGGCATTATAAAATATATATAAATAAAAAATCTTAGTTCAATATCAAAATAACAAAAAGTTATGTTCGGCAAGTATAGAAAGTAATGACGCTATCAGTGTTTTGCAATAAACTTGACCTGCGTTTGTGTCTATGCAGGAAGTTTGGATTCCCTAGCACCTATGGCTCAAAAGTCAATGCGTCCCATACCTATAAGATGGGGTCTGTCCTTCTGCCGTCTACATGAGGTTCGTATAACCTCTACCCTTCGATAACTAGGGGCTACCGTTTATATGTAAGATAGTTAGGCATGAACTGAGCTTCAGAAAGCATTGGTTGATTGATGTAAAACAATTTTTAAATATATATCCATGAGTTAGGCACGGTTGTTAAACCGCATTATAAACCCATAGTTCAAGTAGCCGGAAATCTGAAGATAGATTAAAAATATTTCGCTGCTATCAATGACTCAATTGATCCGTAATTTTTTATTTAGATAAAAATATTCTTATATTTTCGATATGTAAAACACCTAATTGGGATTGGAATTCGTGGAAATCCTTGGCACTTTCCGTTTTCTCCATTTCGCGACTACGAATTTTCACCTCCCGCCGCAATTTGAAGTTATTTGTGCTATTTATTATTGAAATTCAGCTTGGTTATATATTTGATACACATCTTGTACATAACAACTCACTTTTTATGTTGGCTTTCATTATATTAACTATTTTGGTTTCTGTTCGCTTTTCGATTCCAGAAAAGAGAAGAAGAAAAAGTAAAGTAACTTTTTGATTTCTCTATTGATTTGCTCGACTATTCATTACACACACATCCCCAGCAATTGGTAAGTGAATGTTCAAATGACAAATACTAATTGTGTTTTTTCAACATTTTTGCGTTTCATTTGTTTCTTTCTTTCGTTTTTTGTTTTTTTCTCTCTTCTCTCAAACACAGCCGCAATTATCCATGAAATACTCCGCATGCCGCGCTGCTGGCGCTCTCGCACACAACAACAACAACAGCAACAACAATAACCACAAAAGCCACACTTATTACCAGAAACTTGCACAGCCACAGAGAGATTGACAGTACCCCATAAATATATATATACACACACACCAACACACACACACACAGTTAGACACGCGGGCGGAGTCCAACAATCAGCCAATGAAGAAATCTGAATTTATGTAAACATTTATTTTACTTAAGCTTTCCTTTAAGTGCGCGTTGTTTTTCTGTTAAATTTAAAAAAGTACCCCCCTAAATAGTGCTATACACACATAACTCGAACATGAAGGTAATGTGTGTGTAGTATGATCAAAGTTGTTAAAAATATATATATATATATTTCATGTACAAACGGTCGTTCAGCAGTGAAGCGATATTTTTTTAAAGAGAAATCACCACAACACGTACTCTTACAAATTCTATTCTCGGGTTAGAGTTGCAACACATCTTTTTAGAGAAAGATACTTTCTCGCTCTTCCGCTGATTCCACAGAGAACTCAGTAAAACTTTCGATTTAGTGCCCTAAACTGAACATAATAGTTGGAAAACAAATTAATTCGGAACATGTCTGCTTAGAGAAAGATACTCTCCCGCTCTGGGGAATGGTTCGTACGTTCGTAAAGAACACAGTGATCCAAGAAGAAAGTTTTCACATTTTACAAAACTACACACTTGGTCGTCATTTCAATACTGGAAAAAGTATTCGGAATATGTCAATAGGTCATTTGCAGCTTATTTTCAACTGTCTATTTGAAGAATCTCGTAACGGTATAACAAGTTTCTGAAATATGCAACAACTACACGCTTGATCAGTGTTGGAACAGCAACAGCAATAAGTAACTTATTAAATAATAGGGCCCTCAAAGATTCACGAATTCGAATCTCCCCGAAAGATAAACTTTCATTAAATTAATCGGCAAATCTGAGTCCTAAAGTCTTTGAATATGTTTGGCACTGCCCATGACTATTCGAGATATTGAATTGAACACTGCTGTTATTTGATAAAAATGGCAACTCCCGATAATGGGAGTTATTTATAACTATAGACCTATAACTTTATATTACATTTTATGAACTTGCGTTCATATAGAATTTGATATTCCTTAAAATGTATATAAGTTTAACAAACCATTAATGGAAACTATCTAAAGAAAGATTATGTAAATACATTTGGGATTCAAAGAACTGAAAAGGAACTCTGTTAATTACGTAAGAAACCGGCAATTCTTAAAAATGTTGCCAACACTCTTCAAAATGTTTCTAAACACTGATGAGAATTTTCGAAAATGTTGCCAAACACTGTTGAACGATCGATTAATGTGTACGTGTCTACAATCCATATTATTTACATTAACGAATAAATTAAAATACTTAAATCATTACCTACGCTATCATTAAAAATGATAAAAATAAATTATTAAAAAATTTTTCGCTTTGCAAAATTATGCAACAAATATGGGAAAATCAAGCGAACACAACTACAAAAAAAAAAGAAGAACATGCCCATCATTTTCATTGTTTAACCGGCCCTTTGCGTTTTATATGTATTTAAGTATGTAGCCCTTCACTCCAATACATATAATTACGATGCATATTTATTTAAGCAAACAGAATTGGCTTACGAGACATGTCCACGTAGTTAGAATATGAAATTTATTACGCAGTAAAAACAATACAATAACTTTAAAGTTTAACATAAATATATTTTTTAATAAATATACTACTTATATTGTGTAATTATGTATAAAGGAAACCTGTATAACAATTGTTTATAATAATTTGTAACAATTCTATTGAGAACGGCAATAAACACAAACTCTGATGTGAAAGATATTTGCAAAATTACTTGTAAACATTTAAACAGTTATATATTATTTTGATTTATAAGCATTACGATAGGCTCCAAGGACAACAATACTTTTAAAGCATTCTGTTAAAACATGAAAATTAACAACAATTCAATTAAAAAGGAGGGGCAGCTGATAAGTAATCGACATTAACGAAATGTCTTAAATTTAAAAATGATTTGGTTTCTCATTTTGGCATTAAATTATACGGTTCTTCTTCTGATATCTCTTTTACACACAAACATCTCTCGTGTCAGGGTCTGTTTTGAAAACTCATCGCCAAAGAAACTGAAAAAATTAGTCGATATCGTTGCTGTTATAATTTCAAATTTCGTTAAAGCCAATTACTTATAAGCCAGCCCTCTTGTAAAAAGTGCCGCATCTCATGTCTATACTGAAAAATAGAGTAATAAAAGCAAATCAAGAAAACATAACTTAAGTGCCGCATTTTACTAAAAACTGAATTCATAAAACGTTGCTTATTAATAAGCGATATATATACTTAAGTATATGAATAAATACATTGCCACCTTATTAAATGTTGTGTAATGTTTTTAATGCGTTTGGATAAATCGAGACAATTTTAATCAGTCTGATACAAATTGCTTAAGAATGCTGTCTACGCTAGTGACAAAAGAAATATTTTCTTTATGGATCTAGATGGAGACTTTGTTTGCGTACACTGAACGCATAGACTCTTATTAGCCCATGTAAACTAAGAATATTGGTTTATTAAATTGAAAAAATGGATTTACCTTTATGGTATTTTTTTTATTACACTTAATATTCAAAGAATGAACGATTATAGGCAGAGGAAATTCATTGCAGTTCCGCATTATATGATCAGCATGAAGAGGCAAGCCATTATAGACAAATCTGTGCTTTTGTAGACCGATAACTGTATAACCTTACTAGCTAGGGATACATAGCTCATTTAGCAGGTATACTTTTCCTATCTATACACAGAGAAAGTTTACCACAAAGTATTTGGCATATGTACGTTCGGTGCAAAATTCGTTTTAACCACTAACATTTAGATTTTCGTCGATATCGTAATAAATGGAACGTTTCATATTGCCTCACCATATTCTCAAGATTTTGTAAGAACATTGAAGTGGGAATAACTGGAAAACGTATTTTACGTTGTATAAAATCATTCTTGGTCATCATATGGCCTTTGACATTAGTATTGTTGCTATAAATGGGCGACTACTCAAAATATTCAAAATGGAAGCATGACAAACGGAAATGCGCCATATTGACACGAATGACAGAATTAAATGTCAAAATTTAACTTGGTCTTGCAAACTTGATTAAAAGCGCATTCTTTACTGATTTCATTGTTAGTTCATTTGTTCCTTGCACCAACGTGATGAATGTCAACAAAGTACAAAAATAACTGCAACTTTCTGCCACACAAATGCTTCAGGCGAGTTAGCAGCCCCACATCACGTTTTAACATGTCATGCCGCCATCTTCAAAGTTCTTTCCTGGCGTTTCTCGCGAAGTACGCGCATCTTGCTCCACATTTTTACCTCATTGGGTTCGTTTTTCTAAAAATTTTTGTACGAATTCCTGATTTTTGTGCTGCACACGGTTGTTTTTATACTTATTCAGCATTGGTAGGTTGAGTCGTGTTGCTTTTTTCAATTATGAGTTTAAACAGGCTTTTTTCTACAGACAGGCGGTATGGATCGAAAAAGTTCAGTCAACGTATTGCCGAAGAACTTTGCAAACGGTTCTGTTGAAGAGCGTATTGTAGAAAAAGTAATGGACAGTCGTGTGGTAAACGGACGCCGCCAGTACAAAATTAAGTGGGCTGGCTTTGGGGACTCGTATATTTCGTGGGAGCCCGTGGAGCGCATCAATGCTACGCTCTTGCTGGCACAGTACGAAGCCGGCTTGCACGTCAATGAGCAAGTGAGTAAACACATACATAGCTGTTTTCCAATAACGAAACAAACTAAAACGTAATTTCGGGGCTTACAGGCGCTTCAAGGGTCGACTCAAGGCACGGGACAGGGTTCCGGCAGTGATGCCAAGCCAAGCGGTACCCACGCCAATTCTGTTCATAAGGGCAACAATAGCCGACTTTTCTTTAACATCAAGAAACGTGCAATGCCGGTGGGAATTGAGCGCGGCTGGAAATTGAAAGAAGTTGTTGGGAAAGTCATAATGTGGGGGGAAACATTTTATTTTGTTTGGTGGGAGGGCGTTGATGAGCCCGAAACTGTTCGACGTGAGGATATCATTGACCTCTATCCAGAGTTGTTGATCAAATTTTATGAGGGCCTAAAAATATGTGACGAGTGAGCGTCAGCGAAAATGAACTTCCTAACCTCGCTTAAATTTACATACATTTAAAAAAACACCTTGATTTAAACGAGTTAAACATTAATCAATAATAAAAACTAATGTTTAATTTAAAGAAAGAATTAATTATATGAGATCACTTAGTCTATCAGATCTTCCTGTTGGAAGCACCTGGCAGAACAAGTAAAAGGTAACGAGCAGAACGTTAAAATCGTGCTAGTCCGATTCTTGAATACTCTGCATGTCACTTGCATTACAGCTTTCCAACTGAAGTAATCTTTGTTGTATTAATCCTATGATATATATTATATATAATGAATCGATTTTAATGAAACATCAGAAAATGAAGCACTAAAAGAGTGAATTCTGCACCGATTAGCCGTGTGACATTGAGGATATACATATATGGTTTTTAATAAACTTGCTCTGACGTTCTTATCGATGTTTGTAAGGACGGACTATATCGAGTCGGTCTGTCCTGTCATATTTCTTCATTTAAAGTAAATCTGAATCGAGTATTATATTTTAATGTATAAATTTCTTCACGATTCCAATATACAAAATGACGTACATATATACTTAGACGCAATTTAAACAATACATTTTGATAACATAATCCAATAACGTTGACAATAGATACTTTCTTACATTAAAAGCTGATCTCATAATATAGTATTTAAGCATAATACTATATGTGAAAACAATATAAACAATCGAATGTCTAGCACTATCGGCTATCTTGCAAATAAGAACATCCGTGTTTCTTTAATCATCTTCTATTTTGATTGTGAATGATGTGTCTGTTTCCATAAGTTGGTCCTCCAGCCGTAGGCCTAAATGATTACGCTGTAAGTCAACCTTAATGACGGACACTGTAACGCGATCGCCAAGACTCAAGTCCACATTGTTCATGTGGTTCTTATGTATGAGCCCATCCCGATCCACACCAATGTCAACAAAGGCGCCAAAATGGGTCACATTGGTAACGGCGCCTTAAGGAGAAAACAAGAGTATTAGTAAAGAGTTGTAATAAAGGTATCAGAATCAATGAATAGATACCTGTCAGCACATCTCCGATGGTGAGTTCATTGAGACGAGTCAGACCTTTCTTAAACAGAGGTCGTTTGTTGACATCGGCGCGATAATCTTGCAGAAATTCTCGCTGCAGGGCAACTAAAAGAAACTTGACCTGAAAGGGGGGAAAATATTTTATTGAGATTCATTGCAGGTTTACTTTTTGCTACTTACACGATCCATGGGTAAATCGTGCTCATCACTCAGTCTCTCTAGATTTTCCTGCGATGAGGAAAAGCTCTTAATGCGCTCTATAAAGTGTGCTTTGCCAATGTCCGAGAGGTTCATGTCACATTTAGCTATAATACTGAACATACAAACACTTTTAGACTAGGCTAGAAAATTTAAATCTTTAGAATGCAGCGCAAAAGAATGAAGGTGACCGAGCTGAAGCGTCTGTATGCAGAGCGCTGGCACTATCCGCCGGCTCTGAAGAAACGACCCATCAAGTATGCGGCATGCGGGGAGAAACCCAACTACGACCTTAACGACCCGCCCGAGTATACGGCTTGCTGGAAGTCTCCTCTGCAGTCTCAGCCAGAAATTCAATTCGGACCTTGTTGGGAGTATCCGCCGGAGCGCTATAAGCGTCGTCCGCCCCCTCCACCATGCCGCGGTGCCACTTTGCCGGTCGAGCTGCTTGTTCCCACTTTCAAGCATTGCTCGTCTCTGTACACCAAATACGATTTCAGGCTAGAGCAGTGCGTGCACGAACAAATCCTAGTCGTGGAGCAACTATTTGACGAACTGGACCGTGCGCTGAATGAGGCTAAAGCTTTTCAAATAGAGAAGGCTGAGCAAATGCGCTATCAAGCCATGCGCTATCGTCTACTAATCGGGTGAGTAAAATAATAGTACGTATAGTATATAAGATTTTCAATATCGTGGAACAAGTTCTCCGCTAGAATATAAAAATACGGTGAAGTAAAGGATAGCTCGCACTGCTTTTGTTTGGTAATAAAAAGTAGAAAATCATCTTACAACTTCACTAAATTTGTGAAAAACGGAAAACTATGTGGGGGAAAAGGGTCGATTTCGGGTACGGGACTTTAAAACTTGCTATTAATCAGAGTTACCATTTCTTTTATTCAATACTTCGGACTTAAACTGGAAACAATTGTCTTACTTTCCACCATTTTTTATTTGTAAACGTAAAAGAGAAACATTTCAATTTAAGCTCAGTTAACATAAATCGTTTTCCGTTTTTTAACAGAGGTGCTTGCTGCACAAAGATTTATCCCGAGTATTTGAGCAGCCTGGCAGAGCAGCGAGCGCTCTGTGAATTTCAGAAGGCCTTCAATGACATTAACAGATCTAAGTAAGTTTTATTGCTCCTAACACCTCTTTACTATAAATGGCTTTCAAAATAGCTGCGATCTGGGCGATGCAGTAATGGCCGTGAACGACGCCTTGCCAGAGCTTTATCAGCGTATCGATAGATTGGATCACACGCAACAGAGTCCTTTTCTGCTGGGAGATGGCTACGACGCCCCTAGTCTGAGCACTGTTATGCAGATGATAGAGGATCTGTATCGCTATTTTTTTGGTGTGGCACGCAAATTTAAATGTTGGGCACAGCTAATAGATCCTACACAAGAGTTCTCCATTGAGGACTATTTGGCTCTGCTGCAGGACAAAAGCGACTTCGAAAGCTTTTTGCAGGCCGGTACCGAGAAATGTACCTGCAAGCGCTGCGATAAAAAGAATCCCTTCAAGCCGTACTTGCCGTGCTGGTGTCAAATGCGCGACTTTTGCGAGGACCGCGTCAAGCCCAAACCACCCTACGAGTGCGACATGAAATATCTTATAAATGTAGATTTCAACGATAGTGAAGCGGGCAAGCTGAGCAAAATGTCAGTGCAGGAAGCCGAAACTGAAAAGGGGACCGAGCCAAGTGATGTTCAGTTGGTCAAATCCGAGGACGGCCAGATGGATTAATAATAATAATAATATATGGATGCCTTTATCGTATATAGTACTTACGCCTCAGCCACTTTGTAACTCTCCGGATGCACCCACGTGCAGTCTAATGGGTTATTAAGCTTGCCTCCAACACTGAGTGGCTCAATGCGCACGAAGCCGGCGCATTGCACGAACGATTTTTCGCCAATGCTTCGTACCGAGAGCAGGTCCTGGCGCGACTTAAAGGGTCCTTTTTGCATGCGATATTCGATGATTTTCTCAGCCTTTTTCTCGGACAAACCAGCTATGTGCCTGTATTGGAAATTAGAGCAGTAAATTAGAGTAGTTTTCAGAGTTTCTCAGATATACTATAAACACGTAGGTTGATGGTTATTAAGTGCTTTCTTAATTTACGATATACGTATCTTACACAAATTTTAAAACTCATATTGTATTGTTTCTTGTCATGCTTTGAACCAACCAAATATATCATCAGATCGAGATGATTTGAATTGTTAAACAGACATAAGTAAATATATTATAGAATAGCAAGTTTTTGTTGACTTACTTGAGCACACTTAAGCTGGCAGTGTTGAGATCCACGCCGACAAAACTAACACACTCGGACACCACATCGTTGAGGGATTCAGTGAGAATTTTCTCGCTTATATCATGCTGATACATTCCAACGCCCAAATGACGTGGTTCGATCTTCACATACTCGCTCAAAGGATCATTCAGTCGACGCGCAATGGACACTATAATTAGGGTCCTAGTTAAAAGACTGAATCTGGTTGAGTTAAAGTTCAGAAATACGTACCGGCGCTAATCTCATTCATGTCCATTTTGGGAAACTCCTTGCGGGCCACATCGCTGCATGAATACACGGAGGCACCATTCTCGTTCACAATGCTGTAACGCACACATCGGCTGTCAAGAACGCCTGAGGCCAAGAGCTCCGACAGCCACATTTCGGTCTCGCGACAAGCTTTGCCATTCCCCAAAGCAATAATGGAGCAGCTATTGAATTAAATACTTTAAGTTCACATTAACTGATGTATGTACGCTGCTAACTACCCACCTGTGGTTGTGCAACATGTCGACCAATTTCTCTTGTGCGGCTCGTTTACTTTTGTTGTTCGTATGTGGATAGATGACACCCGTTTCCAAAACATCAGCTGTCTCGGATATCAAAGCCAATTTGCAACCGTTCTTAAAACCAGGATCTATGCCTAGAATACATTCCCCTTTAAGCGGTGACATAAGCAGAAGTTGTTTTAAATTTTTCGCAAACACTTCAATAGCAGCTTTTTTGGCCTTTTCCTTAAGATCCGCGCGCACCTGACGACTCAATAACGGCTGCACTACAAAATCGAGAATGAATTACATCACATTTGCTCATGTGCGAATTTTATGCTATTTACATTTCTTTTGAAAACACTCCTCCAAAGCTCGTTCAAAAATATTGGAGCGCAGAGGATACTGTATGCCATCCCTCATATATTGGTCCGTTATGAAGCGCGTCAGATCATTCTTTAAATAATTTGTTGTTTCGATTTTTACGGTTAAAAATTTGTGTTTCTCCCCGCGGTTGATGGCCAGCGTTTGGTGTGGTTTGATGCTCTTGACGTCGGCTTGAAAGGTGAAATAGTTTTCAAATCTACTGCTGTCCAATGTTTTGTCTATAGTGCCAGCGGCAGCTTTGTGAGTTTTTGTTTCCTTGCTAGCCTTGGCTTTGCTGCATTTAAGCATAATGCGATGCACGTTTCGTCTGCAAATGCAAAAGAGGACTAGAAACGGTAAAATGACACAGCATGCCCACATACTTACAGACGACGTAGCTCCTCCAACACATTAGAGTTCTTACTTATGGTATGGGAAATAATGTTGCATACGCCATCCATTACTAGCGCCTCTGTGGCCAGGGCGTCATTGCGCCGATCAACTAGCGAAGAAAGCTCAACTTTCGGAGCTGCTCCATAAAGCAATGCATCGGCAGATTTCTCTAGACCTAACGCTTTGGCACGTTCGGCCAGCGTGCCCTTGCTAGCGGGTTTGTAGGGTGCGTACTAAGAAATATGTGTTTAATAAACGCACCCACTGTGCAATGATATGTGGTTTTTGTCTTACTAGAAACTCAAGCTCTTCAGTTGACTTGGCGCACATAAGTTCCTCGCGTATTTCCGTATTCAGTACGTTCTCTTTCTCCAAATTGTTTACCATTGTTTCGGCCTTCTTACGCAGATCTACGATCTCAGCGTACGTACTGCGTATATCTCGCAAACGCTCCGGTGTAATGTCATCTACCAAGTCACGCCGATATCGGCAAATAAATGGTATTGTGTTGTCGTTCTGAAATAGCTTTACAATGTTACGCGCCGCTGTGGGTTGAATGTTCTCTGTTTCTGCCAGGAGTTCATCTAATGTCCAGACTTTTCGTCGTTGCCAAAAGGAACTGCGACCAGTAGTAGGTGCTGGATTTGAATCCGATACGTTTGATTCTGCAGCAGCTGTCGTTTGTGCGTCGCTTGAATTTGGCGCCACATTTTCATTGTCCTTTCCACCGCGCTTCTTTTTTGCTGCTGGGGCTTCTGTTTTGTCCTTTTCCTTAGTCGGTGGACGTCGCTTTCTTGGCTCCTTAGTGCTGCAATATAAATATGTTTATTAAGGGCCACAATTAATATATAAGAAGACTCTCACATGCCAGCTGCTAAAGCAGCCGCACGGTCCACAGATTTTTGACCGTGACTTGATAGCTCGGGCTTGTAGTCGTCGTCCCCTACATCGTCTTCTTCATCCGTGTCGACCAGTTCAATGATATCACATGGTTTTTGAGTAGTTTGGCGCTGCCGACGACGTAACATATTAACACTTTTGAAACAGCATACACCGAAGGTAAGTTTCTGAAGCCACTTAAATCCACATTCACGCGGTCCACTAAAACACTTTTGATTTATGTGTTATCGATAGCATCATGCTCAACAGATGTTGAATGGATGTAGTGCGCAACCTAGCGGTCAATCTGGAAAGACTTCAGTAAATTGTTCTGATAACATGCTCTACAGCTGCACGAAAGGCATGAAGTCGCACGTTAAAGAGTTAATTTAATTTATAGAAAAATGTTTCAGCATGCAGTGCCTCCAATGCGGATATCATTTGTGCGAACTAGAAGAAAGTTGCTTCAGCTGTCAAGCAGCATTATCAGACGCTATTGCAGTAAAGGAACAGCTGATATTAGAAATATTGGCATATTGGCACACATAGATGCAGGTAAAAATGTAAATAAACAAATGCGGGACCGATCGACTTCTTAATGAGAAAGTATTCGTGTGCAGGAAAAACCACAACCACTGAGCGCATGCTGTTCTATGCCGGCAAGACGCACAACTTGGGCGAAGTGCATCGTGGAAATACAGTGACCGATTACCTAACTCAGGAACGGGAGCGCGGCATAACCATATGTAGCTCAGCCGTTACGTTTCCCTGGAATGGAAAGCGGTAAGTTTGCTTAAAGAGCGTTTTAATTTAGCAATTTTAACAATGCTTTCTTACTTGGCAGCATAAACTTGTTGGATACGCCCGGCCACATTGACTTCACCATGGAGGTAGAGCAATCCTTGCATGCAGTTGATGGCGTTATTGTCGTACTGGATGGCACGGCGGGTGTCGAGGCCCAAACAGTGACTGTGTGGACGCAGGCATCAAAACATAATTTGCCGCGTTTAGTATTTGTAAATAAAATGGACCGACCAGACGCCGACTTTGAAAAATGCGTTGAAGATTTGAGAACAAAGCTGGACACTCGACCCATTTGTACTCAATATCCTGCAAAAAACGACGAGGGGCACTTAAGTGGGTAAATTTACAATGGACACCCCGAGGCAAATGCTCAACAAAATTCTTAATTGCAGGCATATACGACGTCATTACATTGGAGCAGGTTCATTGGCAACAAAAGGACTTTGGCCGTAGCTATAAGAAAGTCAAAGTAGAGCCTTCAGATACGCTGCGCACACTAGAGGAGAAGCGCAACGAATTAATTGACCAGCTATCTGGACTCGATGATGAATTAGCTGAAGTTGTCATCAGCACAGAGGGCTTTGATAAAGTCAGCAACGAGCTGATTGGCCACGCCCTCCGTCGCGCCACATGTCAACAAAAGGTGGTACCTGTGTTGCTCGGCTCTGCTTACAAAAACATTGGCATACAACGCTTGATGGACTCTGTAAACGCGTATTTGCCGGCCCCCCACGAACGGAACCAGATCTATGATTGCTTTGGGTAATAGAGTATATTGAATGCCATTAAACAGATAGTAAATGGTTATATATTTATATTTCAGCAATGATCTGGCGGCTAAAGTGTTTAAAATTGTACACGACAAGCAGCGCGGTCCATTGACATTGATACGCGTTCTGCGCGGCGAATTAAAAAGAGGCATGCGCCTTGTTTCCTCCCGTGGACAGGCAGAGGTTGTGTCCAAAATTTATGAGCCTCTTGCCGATGAGTATAGAGAAATGGCCGTGATTAAGTGCGGTGATGTTGGCATTTGTTCAGGTTTGAAGGTGGGTACATAAAGTACATTTAATTCTCTAAACCAATTCTCTAAACTAATGTTATTTGTTTAAGTCGACTGTGACGGGTGATTTGCTCACAGCTAGTCAGACATCGCTAAAGAATGCAGAGAAGCGTCTACGACAGAGTCAAGGCCTGTCAAAGGAAGCATTAGAAGAGGATGATGCTGCAAATGAAATGTTTGATATAGAACCACAAATACCGGATGCTGTCTACTTCTGCTCAATTGAACCACCAAGCATATCCTCACAAACAGCCATGGAGCTGGCGCTCAAACAGTTGCAACGCGAAGATCCTAGTCTGCGTGTAAGCTACGATGCTGTTACCGGTCAAACCGTGCTCGGCGGTATGGGCGAATTGCACATGGACATTATTAAATCGCGTATTCTAAGCGATTATAAAATTGACGTAGACCTAGGCCCGTTACAAATAGCCTATAAAGAGACTATCGAAGCACCAGCTATAACAACATTGAACGTTGAAAAGGAAATTGTGGGTAGCAAGCAGAATGTTTCTATCACATTGGAGCTAGTCAAAGATCACAGCGAATTATTTAGGTGGGCCTGAATTTAAAAAAATTACCCTAAGAATAGTTATATTCATTCGTGCCATTTGGAACAAAAGTTTAGATAAATCACCAGAAAATATGAACAACCTGAATGCTTTACGACCACGAATTTTACAAGTGCTGCGTAAAGGAGCAATCAGTGCCTTGGAGCGCGGACCACGTGTTGGCGGTCAGGTGGTTGACACCCAAATACGTCTACACAATGCTACCATAGGACGTGGCACAGCGGACTCATTTGTCATGGCGACCGCTGCGCAGTGTGTGCAAAGGGTAAGTAATTGTTGGTTTTGGACTTAAAAGCTTGTTAATCATTAAGCTAATCTACACAGCTACTAGGATTATGTGGTACGCGTTTGTTGGAGCCCATAATGGCGTTGCAAATTGTTGCACCAAATGAGCGCATTTCGACCATTATGGCCGACTTGTCCAGACGACGAGCATTGGTCAATGATGTGCTGCCAAAAGGTGATAGAAACAAGGTAAGTCGGTTTCCGTTGATAGCGAATAATTGGCGTTGGGTATTTACTATTGTTTTGAATCTTGCAGCTAATTATGGTAAATGCACCGTTGGCTGAACTTTCGGGCTATTCCAGCACTCTGCGTACTATCAGCTCCGGTACGGCGAGCATGACAATGCAGCCGTGCGGCTTCGCCAACATGAATCCGGCAGATGAATCATTAGCTGTGGAGCGCGCACAAGGATTGGCATGAAAGCATCGTAAATGATGTCAATAAATATTAACCATGTAAAACCATGAGAAGTCGAATATACATAAACAATATGTATATGGATAATATCACAACAAATACAAATATTCTGCTCAACTGTTTTTCCAAGACTTCTACTCTATTGTTATTTTGACATTTCTTCTGATTGGGTTTTGTCCACTAAGGGGTCTGATTGTATGTGTTTCCACATCTTGCAAATTGAATATCAAACGCGCTAAGATTACTGAAAATCTGTACATATTTATTTACCATTACAAAATAATTTCATTTTTATTATAGCTATTAGTTGTAGCTTCAACTGGCTGGTTGTACAAACATTTGTATGGCCAGCCATAATAATTAACATACTAGCTGTATTTTCTTACCTTTCAATATTAAGTAAGACATAAATTAAACAATTTGTGCATACAATGCTCACACATGTCGTATTTTTAGACCCTCATAATATTTAATTACAAGCTCTGGATAAAGATCAATGATGTCTTCGCGACGTACAGCTTCAGGCTCCTCAACGCCCTCCCAGCGCACACAGTAAAAAGTTTCCCCCCACATGACGAATTTATGAAAGACGTTCATCAGCTTCCAGCCTCGCTCTATTCCTACAGGCATGCTGCGCTTCTTTATACTAAATTCATGTAGATTTTTGGGCTGGCCGCTGCTTACATTGCCCGTAGTACTGGCATTGCTACCGCTTTTGCTAACATCCTCGTTGGGAGCCTGCTTCTTAGATTTAGATTTGCATTTTAAGTCTTGCAAGCCTTGCATTGGGGTGAGCTCCGCCGCAGGCTCATTCTTGTTATGTGGTTTATTACGTTTTGTGGCATTAAACACAGAAACATCTACACTCATCATGCGTTGGCGGAGTGGCCTTTTCATTATAGATGACATCTCCACACCACACAGGGATTGGCGGCGCCGCCCCTTGGTGTTTTCATGAGGCTGTAGGAATCGTATTGCATATGTGATTTCCGTATTTAAAAACATCTACTTACTTTATTGAAAGACTTCGCAGTAGTTCCGGTCACTTCATTAGCTTCCTTTTTTTTATGGGATTTCGATGTCATTGGAATGTCACAACTGCTTCCGACATGGCTTTGTGTGGTAGCCTGTGCTTTCGGGTTGAGGCTGTCCGATGTTGTTTCAGTGGAAACTTGAGTTGATGAAATCGGAAGTTTGGAACGTTTTCTGGCATTGTCATGCTGGACCACTTGTCCAGCTCTTTCTCCTTTTATGTTTACATGAAGATCGCTCTCTACGAGCTCAGCGCCACATATCATTGGCTGACTTTTTTTTAGGGAAGGCGACAGCTCGCGTTCACTGCCGCTACTTAACTCAATACAAACATTTGTTTTTTCTTTCCTGCGATTTAATTTTTCGGGTGCAATTGTTTGTTTTCCACGAAGATGTTTTTTGGCATACAATTCAGCCTCACACTCAGCCAGCAGATGGACGCAGTTTATATTTTCCATAGGCTCCCATGTATTTTCGGAGTCCGCATAGCCAGCCCATTTAATCATGTATTGGGCACGGCCATTCACAAAACGCTTGTCCAGTACTTTTTCCACATTATACTCTTCAAACGACTTGGCGGTAGCGTTATCATCTTCGTCAATGTTAATATTATGACTGCCTTTGCTACTGTTTAGTTTTGCTAAGCCGTTCACGCCCATGATGGCGCCTCTAGAAATAAGTCAATTGTAACTGATTAACGAATAACTTACTAACTAAAATACATCTAAAATAGGCTTTTACTGGTTAGAAACAAAAACTTGAGTAAAGGTAAAGCGCGCAATCCCAGCAACTACAAGGTCAAAAATAAAGCCGTAAAAAGAATCGATTCCCAATCGATTTAACATTTTGATAAAAATCGCATTTTTGGAGAATTGATTAAGCTATAAAGTTAATTGCATGTTTAAATTAGCACATCATTAATCGAAAGTGACACGGAAAATATATGTTCTCATTGAAAATTACAATACAAATCAAATCATTTTGAACAAATCGCATAAAAGGCAATAAGGATCGATGATATTATCAACATCAACTATTTGCAGCTCTAGTCAAAAGCGAATGGATGGCGGAAAGAAATGTCAAAACTTAAATTGGTTCTGTCAACTTGACTGCAAAGCGCAATGCTGACAATTGCCAGTCCTGCCAACTAAGTGAATTCGTCCGCAACGTACATTTACATGCCTAGCTACATCATATAACATTAAAAAAATCGCATGCTCAATTGATTGCTGAGAATTGATTTCCCGCAAATATAATTTTGGGGTAATTGGTAATTCCGCCTCCTCGGACTTAATAGGTATTAAAAGTTAATTCCGTCGACAATTTTGAAATATGCCGCTGTTTATGTGTTTGTGCTTCTTGTTTGCTTTCTATTATTTTTATTGCTATACAAACTAAGAAGATTGGACCTGCATTGTCAGAACTATTGTTATTTAGTTAGCGATTTAATTTCGATACTTCGAATTTACGTTGACACTTAATTGGGAAAGGCCCCGTAAGCATTCCCCCATTTCATAAAATGAAATTGGCAGGTCCAAAGCAAGCTTTGACATTTCCTTCCGGTATTTAATCGTTCCTGATCAGTTTTGCCTTTTTTTGAGTAAGCACGTGTGCCTCATTTCCGCTGTCCTCACGATTTTTGATTTGTGTTTTTTCTTCAAATTTCTTTTACAATTCTTAGTGTAATTATTGTCTTTGTAAGCATGGCCACAAGAAAACTTCGAAAAGATTGCGTACACGATTCTGGAAAAGTTGTTAGAAAAAGGAACAAACGCATTCAAAAGGAGTATGTTGTGGAGCAGATTTTGGGTAAGCGCCATGTTAAGGGACGTGTCCAGTACAATATTAAATGGGCTGGCTACGAAGAGTCTGAAAATTCTTGGGAACCCATAGAGAACATCAACTGTGAGCGCTTGCTGGCGAAATATGAAGCTGAATTAGCGGACAAAAAAAAATCGAAGCTCGGCGAACTAAAAACTGCAAAAATTGAAAATGACAGGCGCAACAAGAAAAAAAACAATAACGTTGTCCATATGAGCAGCGATGAAAGCGCTGGTGAGGCTCCAACCCAGTTATCCTCAAAATATGAAGCTGAATTAGCGGGCAAAAAGAAATCGAAGCCCGGCGAACAAAAAACTGCAAAAATTGAAAATGGCAGGCGCAACAAGAAAAAAAACAATAACGTTGTCCATATGAGCAGCGATGAAAGCGCTGGTGAGGCTTCAACCCAGTTATCCCTAAAAATTAACAAAGAAAATAAAGGACTGGCCGCTAACAAAGATAGTGCACCTCAACATCGTGCCAAGAAAGCGGTTAAACCCTCGACGTTGGCAGAGGAGAGTTGTAATAACACAACTTCAACCAACAGCCAGTTGAAGAAAGGTGGTTCGAAGAAAAAGCATTATGTCGCAACCAAAGAAACTTATGCTGGAAGCAATAATGATGCCAATGACGACATTGGTCCAACAACTTGTAAATCTCAACAACCAAAGCGAGGTGCGGTTTTGGACGAAGCTACTGCCGAAAGAAAGAGCAAAGTAAGTAGGCGCATTCTAAAAAAGAAATCACATACGATATAGTACACAATTTTCTGTTTACAGATTCTAGGCATCAGGCGTCGCCGTCAGACTATCTGTGATCCATTGATTTTAAGTGAAGTGCCAACTCCAAGGCGCCAACGATTAATGAGTGTAGAGGCTCCTATTATTCATGAAAAAAATCGTAATAAGCTACCACAGCAAAAACGTAATGCTAGCGCTGAGAACACGCCGTTCCAAGGCTTGCCCCACAATGGAGTAAAGCGTCTGATGCCTAAAAAGCAGGCTCCGGCAGAGAGCAACGATGGTACCGTTTGCACTGACAAAGACGAAGACGAGTCAAAAAAAAGTGGTGCTGAGCGCGCAAAGAAAAATAAAAAGGATAAACTAAATAAATTTGGCGACGGTAAAGCTACTACATGTGGCAAGCAATTAAATTTAGACAAGCCACTGATTCCGTCGTCTAAAACATCAACTTCCAAGAAGAAGCACCACGGCGGAATCGGTTGTGGCGATTACTCAACAACCGCAAAACCTCAACAACAAAAAGGAGATTCCGATTGCAATGAAGCAAAAAATTCAAGGCCTGTAAGTAAATATTATTTTACCATTGACTAAAATATAATGTAGCATGCACTTCGTACCTTCCAGCTTCAAGGCCTCAAACGTCGTCGGAAGACTTTGTGTAATACAGACGATTTAAGTGAAATGCGGACGTCGCACAGACAAAGTTTAATTAGCGTAGATGCTTCTGTGGAGCAAGGTACCAACCTTTACGAACCGCAGGGCCCAAACGAAGCTGGTGGTTATTTAACAGCAGCTACGAATTGGGACGAAGCTGCAGCCGAGCTGATTCCGCCGACTAAAGCATCGACTATGAAGAAGAAGAAGCTCCATGTCGGCTCCACACAAACTTATGATGGAATTGATTGTGGCGATTACCCAACAACCTCAAAATCTCAACAAAAAGGAGCCTCCGATTGGGATGTAAGTATATTTATTTTTACAATGGACTAAAATGTGATGTCGAATGCGCTTTCTAACTTACAGCTATAAGGCATCAAACGCCGCCGCAACACTTCGTCTAATTCGAACAATTCAAATGAAATGCCGAAGACGCGCAGCCAACACGTTAAAAAAAAACTCATTAACATAACATATTACACATTTAAAAAAACGTTATAACATGTTATAAAATAAAGTGGAAGATTAACCCTACCTTTGTTTATTAAATAGTAAATTCTGTGATTAATCGTAAAAGAGAAGCTATCAACATAGGATATTCGATTTTCTTACGTAATCCTGCACGTAAGAAAATGTATTAGTTAAAGAAACAAAAAGAATTCAATGAAAACTACAGAAAAACAGACATCGCTAGTCTCCAAGTGGTAATAACTTAGGGACACCCATAAACATGAAATGGAGCTGCGATATTTCACCTGTCAGCTATTTAAAATAATTTTCAACTCAATAGGCTGTGGCTTTGTACGCAACTAGAAGCAGTTGCTTAAAGAGGAACAGTTGTATAAATTGTCGTGTGTGAAACGTTAGAAAATAGAATAGAATGAGTAAAAGTAAAGCACTGCGCAATAAAATAAGAGAGCTGGCCGATGCCAACAAAATAGATCCTAGGGATGAGCAGGAGCTAAATCAGCTACAGGAGGCAGTAGAGGGGATTTACAAGACATTTGAGATTTTGCAGGCCGAAAATGCTCACTTGAAGCGAAAAGTTAATGATTTACAAGGAAAGGCGATGGAAGCTGAATACTTGTCACATGACCTCTCAGCAAACCTAAACCACCAAAACGCCATGATTGATAACATGGAAAACGATATGGAGGATATGCAGAAGTACTATGAAAGAGAAGTCGAGCAATCAAAGTTTAATGAGGAAGTCCTTAAGGTAAGTTCATATATGTAGGAGAGGTCAATTCATAACAAGATCTGTTTATTTAAAAATAGTGTCGCTGTGATCAGTTGAAAGAGGAGCTAATGAATTCAAAATGTGCGGCTCAGAGTGCAGAGTGTCTGCAAATAGAAGTCGATGTCCTGAGGAATGAGTTACGCAAGCGAGACGTTGCTTTGAATGCCTATGATTGCCAATACCAACAGTTGATGGTAAGCTTAAAAAATATGGATGTCTTAAAATAAGAATGTGTGCCATTACTTACTATTATTTTTTATTGGTTTGTTTCTAAAGCGCAAGTCTAAAATGTTTAGGAAGACTGGCTATCGTTTACTTGACGTTCTACCTGAGAGTGGCAATGATAGTTGCTTTTCTGGAGCCGAAGAGGAGGAAGGTGGAGAATGTACATGTTAGTGTAGCCCAAGCAAAATTTCGTTTTCCTCTTGTAACTATTGTTTCAAAATTTGTTCGTAAACTCTGAAATTGTTAAGTCGTCACTAGAAATTAAAAGTGTTTGAGCCTAATGATATTTTTAAGTAATGAGAGGACAGTTGCTAAAGCACGCATGGATTGCGAAGGCTTATTACATGTTCATATATCCCTTCTTCTTTCCCGACAACCCCAATTGTGTTTACATAATCAACCCACTAATGCTTGTAATGATTTTCCTCTCCATTGTTTTGTTTTTTATTCAATGTCTTAACACAAAAAATGATAATAAACGAAATGACTGCCCACGTTTTGATGAACGCATTGAGGTGGGTGATGACTTGACGTTCTATACAGGTGCCGCATTGGATGATATTTGTGTAATGCTGACAATTAAAGTATCAGACATCAAGTAGCAATTCAGGTATCAATCGTAAGGAACCGCAGGGCACAAGCGAAGCTGGTGATGATTTAACTGCACCTACAGAATTTTGAATCGAATCCACCATAAAACTTCACTACAAACACATTCTATAAGCTCATTATAACATATCACACATTTAAAAATACATTATAACATGTTATAAAATAAATTGGAATATTAACCCTACCTACATATGTTTTTTAAATAGCTGCGATTCTGCGATTAATCGTGAAAGAGCAGTTACCGAAATAGGTTTTAATCATCCATCAGCTCCAGCAAAATCTTGTCAAGTTTTTCTCGGTCTTCCATTTGCAATAACCATACAAACATAACCATGCTATACATCCTGCTACAAGAATACGTAATACTTGTATGCACATTTTCTTACATGCAGGATTATGAAAAACCATGTAATGAAAAACAGACATCGCTAGTCTCGAAGCGGTAATAACTGAGGGTCCTTCATAAGCATGAGCTAGAGCTGAGATATTTCACCTAAGGTTGGTTATTTAAAAAATCTTGCAACTTAGTGGGCTATGTCTTTGCACGCAACTACAAACAGTAGCATAAAAAGAAACAGTTGAAAAAATTGTCGTGTTTCACACACCTTAGAAAATTTGGGGATTCAATCAATGTCGGGCGTACTATTTTTTTTTATTACTTTTCAGACAGTCCAACGTACAACATCTCTCAAGTAAAAAAATTTACATGGCGTTCTCCACACAAATAAAGTTCTTCCACGTTCCTTTTATGAACGAAACTTACGAGTTTGAGTGTCAAGAAGCATGCGTCAAACTAAAAAGCTATCCCTCGACAGTCGACGACCGCTCTTGGGCAGCAGATGAGCAGAAAAAGTCACGTTTTGTTGCCGATCTAGTAGCATGTAATATGATAGGAGTTCGTGGAGGTCACGGTGGCTCCCCTGTAAGTATCTAGGAAATGGCAATTTCTATTTAACATTATGTTATTTCCTTTTTAGGGGGCCGAGCGGAAGACAAGCTGATCAAGGACGCGGAGGTCCTGCTTGTGGGCGTGGAGGTCCTGATAGTGGTCGTGGAGGTCCTCGTCCGGGAAAAGAACGTGGTGGTCCTGGCGGAGGTCCAAGTGGTAGAGACAGCGATGATCAAGGCTATGGCCGTGGAGGTCCAGGTGGTAGATTTAAAAGGAAAGGCGATCGAGGCTGAATACTTGTCACATGACCTCTCAGCAAACCTAAACCATCAAAACGCCATAATTGATAACATGGAAAACGATATGGAGGATATGCAATAGTACTATGAAAGAGAAGTCGAGCAATCAAAGTTTAATGAGGAAGTTCTTAAGGTAAGTTCAAAGAAGCAGGAGGGGTCAACTCGTGACAAGGTGTGATTATTTAAAAATTAGTGTCGCTGTAATCAGTTTAAAAAGAAGCTAATGAATTCAAAATGTGCGGCTCAGAGTGCAAATAGAAGTCGATGTCCTGAGGAATAAGTTACGCAAGCGCGACGTTGCTTTGAATGCCTATGATTGCCAATACCAACAGTTGATGGCTTAAAAAATATGGATGTCTTAAAATAAGAATGTGTGCCATTACTTACTATCGCTTACTTGACGTTCTATCTGAGAGTGGCAATGATAGTTGTTTTTCTGGAGCCGAAGAGGAGGAAGGTGGAGAATGTACATGTTAGTGTAGCCTAATCAAAATTTCGTTTTCCTCTTGTAACTATTGCTTCAAAATTTGAAATCTGAAATTGTTAAGTCGTCACCAGAAATTAAAAGAGTTTGAGCCTAATGATATTTTTAAGCAATGAGAGGAAAGTTGTATTACATGTCCATATATCCCTTCTTCTTTCCCGACATCCCCAATTGTGTTTACATAATCAACCCACTAATGCTTGTAATGATTTTCCTCTCCATTGTTTTGTTTATTTATTCATTGTCTTAACACAAAATGTGATAATAAACGAAATGACTGCCCACTTTTTGATGAACGCATTGAGGTGGGTGATGACTTGACGTTCTATACTGGTGCCACATTGGATGATATTTGTGTAATGCAGACAATTAAAGTATCAGACATCAAGTAGCAATTCAGGTATCAATCGTAAGGAACCGCAGGGCACAAGCGAAGCTGGTGATGATTTAACTGCACCTACAGAATTTTGAATCGAATCCACCATAAAACTTCACTACAAACACATTCTATAAGCTCATTATAACATATCACACATTTAAAAATACATTATAACATGTTATAAAATAAATTGGAATATTAACCCTACCTACATTTGTTTTTTAAATAGCTGCGATTCTGCGATTAATCGTGAAAGAGCAGTTACCGAAATAGGTTTTAATCATCCATCAGCTCCGGCGAAATCTTGTCAAGTTTTTCTCGGTCTTCCATTTTCAATAACCATACAAACATAACCACGCTATACATCCTGCTACAAGAATACGTACAACTTGTACAGACATCGCTAGTCTCGAAGTGGTAATAACTTAGGGTCCTTCATAAGCATGAGCTAGAGCTGAGATATTTCACATAAGGTTGGTTATTTAAAAAATCTTGCAACTTAGTAGGCTATGGCTTTGCACGCAACTACAAGCAGTAGCATAAAAAGGAACAGTTGTATAAATTGTCGTGTGTGAAACGTTAGAAAATTTGGGGATTCAATCAATGTCGGACGTACTATTTTTTTTTTTATTACTTTTCAGACAGTCCAACGTACAACATCTCTCAAGTAAAAAAATTTAATTTTTGTATAGAAAACAATTTTGCTTTATAAACGAACACAATTTGAGATCGCCGCGACATGGCGTTCTCCACACAAAAGGAGTTCTTCCACGTTCCTTTTATGAACGAAACTTACGAGTTTGAGTGTCAAGAAGCATGCGTCAAACTAAAAAGCTATCCCTCGACAGTCGACGACCGCTCTTGGGCAGCAGATGAGGACAAAAAGTCACGTTTTGTTGCCGATCTAGTAGCATGTAATATGATAGGAGTTCGTGGAGGTCGCGGTGGCTCCCCTGTAAGTATCTAGGAAATGGCAATTTCTATTTAAAATTATGTTTGTTTCCTTTTTTAGGGTGATGAAGGAGGAGGTCCTGGTGGCGGTAGAGGCGGCGGCAGGGGCTATGGACAAGGACAGCGTGGAGGTCCTGGTGGTGGACCAGGTCGAAGACAAGGAGATGATCAAGGACAGCGGGGAGGTCCAGGTGGTGGGCCGGGCGGAAGACAAGCTGATCAAGGACGCGGGGGTCCTGCTGGTGGGCGTGGAGGTCCTGATAGTGGTCGTGGAGGTCCTGATGGTGGTCGTGGAGGTCCTGATAGTGGTCGTGGAGGTCCTGATACTGGTCGTGGAGGTCCTGGTCCGGGAAAAGAACGTGGCGGTCCTGGCGGAGGTCCAAGTGGTAGAGACGGCGATGATCAAGGCTATGGCCGCGGAGGTCCAAGCGCAAGTCCTAGCGGAGGGCCAGGTGGTAGAGATGATGATCAAGGCTATGGACGGGGAGGCCCAAGTGGCGGTCCAGGAGGCAGAGAAGGTGATGATCAAGGCTATGGACGGGGAGGCCCAAGTGGCGGTCCGGGCGGCAGAGAAGGTGATGATCAAGGCTATGGAAGAGGAGGACCTAGTGGAGGACCTAGTGGAGGACCAAGTGGAGGACCTAGTGGAGGACCTAGTGGAGGTCCTAGTGGAGGTCCCAGTGGGGGTCCCAGTGGAGGTCCAAGCGGCAGAGGAGCTGATGACCAAGGATATGGAGGAACTGGTGGTGGCAAGGGTGGAAGTAGAAGGGGGAGCAGTCCAGGCGGCGGTCAAGGGTTTGGGCCTTCTAGTGGACCGGATGGGGGAGGTCAAGGCTATGGACCTCCACCTGGTAGTGGAAAAGGCGGTAGTAGACGCGGCAGTCAAGGACCAGGAGCTGGACAAGGAGGTGGGCCAGGCGGTGGACCAGGAGGCGGACAAGGAGGTGGACCGGCAGGCGGGCAAGGAGGTGGACCGGCAGGCGGGCAAGGAGGCGGACCAGGATATGGTCAAGACACCGGACAAGGAGCTCGACAGGGGGGTGGACCAGGAGCAGGCCAGGGATATGGCCAAGATTCTGGACCTGGAGGTGGTCAGGGTTATGGTCAAGATTCTGGTCCTGGAGGTGGCCAAGGAGGTGGACCGGGAGGAGGTCAAGGAGGTGGACCCCAAGGAGGACAAGGAGGTGGACCCCAAGGAGGCGGGCCCCAAGGAGGCGGGCCCCAAGGAGGTGGGCCTCAAGGAGGTGGGCCTCAAGGAGGTGGACCTCAAGGTGGTGGGCCTCAAGGTGGTGGGCCTCAAGGAGGTGGGCCTCAAGGAGGTGGGCCCCAAGGAGGACAAGGTTACAGTCCAGATTCCGGTCCTGGCGGTGGACCTGGTGGAGGCAGAGCTGGCACTGCACCAGGTAGTAGACGAGGAAGTGCTCCTGGTGGTGGACCTGGTGGCGGGCCTGGTGGTGCGCAGCGCGGGGCACAGGATGATGGTTATGGTGGTGGTCCGTATGATCAGGGTCCAAGCGGTGGAGCCGGTGGAGGCCCACGTGGAAGTAGACGAGGTAGCGCGCCTGGAGGTGCAAAAGGTAGCGGACCTGGTGGTAGACAAAGTGGAGCTCCTGGTGGTGGCCCAGGCGGCGGTCCTAGTGGTCCCCAACGCGGTGCACAGGATGATGGCTATGGTGGAGGACCTTATGATCAGGGTCCAAGCGGCGGTGCCGGTGCAGGTCCAGGCGGTAGTAGGCGTGGCAGTCAAGGATATGGTGCAGGAGCTGGCCAAGCTGGTGCTGGTAGTGGTCCTGGTGGTGGTCCAGGTGCTGGCCCTGGGGGGCCAAGTGGAGGACCTAGTGGTGCCCCAAGTGGATATGGAATGCAGCCTGATCTTGCATTCTATGGCGCAGACTTTGGACCAATGGGATCAATGGGTGCTACTCCTGGTACCAAAGGAAGTTGCACGCCGGTCAGCGGAGTTGGTGTTGTAAAGGGTAGCGTTCCTGGAAGCAGGCGCGGAAGTGATCCCGGCACTGGGCCAGGCGCTGTTCCAGGTGCAGAAAGAGGCGTTGCTCCAGGAAGTAGACGCGGTAGTGGACCAGGAGCAGGACAACGAGGTGCACAAGACGATGGTTTCGGCGGTGGACCAAGCGGAGGTCCTGGTGCTCCCTTTGGTCGACCTGGTGATGCTGGGCCTGGTGGTTTAGTAGTTGGCGACAGTCTAATAAATGCTGCCGGCGCCACTATTGGCAATTTACAAGACTTACTAGTCCAGAATAATGTTTTGGAAAGACGTCTGGCAGACTCGCATGATCGTTTGGCTACAGCAAAGGATGAAAATGCGGAAATCAAGCGAATAATGAGCAAGCGTTACGATCCCGAGAAAAGCAAAGTATTGCGCAATAAAATAAGAGAACTAGCCAACGACAACAAAATAGATCCTAGAGATGAGCAGGAGTTAAATCAGCTTCAGGAGGCCGTAGAGGACATGAACAAGGCATTTGAGATTTTGCAGGCCGAAAATGCTCACTTAAAGCGATTGATTGAAAAGCAGTCTCGACGTTGCAAAATGGAAAGTCTGAAAATTGATCCGGAACAAAGTAACGACATACAATATCTCCAAAACAAAGTCAATGACTTGGGAAAGGAATTAGCCTTTTTGCGTCAGGCTGAAGATGAACTGTTACGAATGAATCCATCAGGTCCTTACTCGCCAGACCTTGATGCAAATGACATAAGGAAAATTGTTGCAGAGCGCGATGCGCTGCGAAAAAAATGCAAGGCTCTCAAGGCGCTTGAGGGTAAAGTTAATGATTTACAAGGAAAGGCGATGGAAGCTGATTACTTGTCACATGACCTCTCGGAAAACCTAAACCACCAAAACGCCATGATTAATGACATGCAAAACGAGATGGAGGATATGCAGAAGTACTATGAAAATGAAGTCGAGCAATCAAAGTTTAATGAGGAAGTCCTTAAGGTAAGTTTAAATATGTAGGAGAGGTCAATTCAAAACAAGATCTGTTTATTTAAAAATAGTGTCGCTGTGATCAGTTGAAAGAGGAGCTAATGAACTCAAAATGTGCAGCTCAGCGTGCTGAGTGTCTGCAAATGGAAGTCGATGTCCTGAGGAATGAGTTACGCAAGCGCGACGTTGCATTGAATGCCTATGATTGCCAATACCAACAGTTGATGGTAAGCTTAAAAAATATGGATGTCTTAAAATAAGAATGTGTGCCATTGTTTACTATTCCCTTTTTTGCTTGTTTCTAAAGCACAAGGCAAAAATGTTTAAGAACGCTGGCTATCGTTTTCTTGACGTTCTACCTGAGAGTGGCAGTGATAGTTGTTTTTCTGGAGCCGAAGAGGAGGAAGGTGGAGAATGTACATGTTAGTGTCGCCCAAGCAAAATTTCGTTTTGTATCCTCTTGTGACTATAGTTTCAAAATTTGTTAGAAAACTCTGAAATTGTCAAGTCAACACATGAAATTAAAAGTGTTTGATCCTACTGACACTTCAAGCAATGAGAGAGGAAATTTGTTAAAGCACTCTTGGATTGTGAACGGCTTATTACATGTCCATATCTCCCTTCCTCTTTCTCTTCATCCTGAATTGTGTTTTCATAATCAATCCACTAATGCTTATAATGATTTTCCTCTCCATTGTTTTGCTTTTTATTCAATATTCACGACCAGAATGTTATATGTGAGCTTAACGAGAAGTATGGTAATAAACGAGATGACTGCCCAGGTTTTGATGAATGCGTTGAGGTGGGCGATGACTTGGCATTTTATACAGGTGCCACATTGGATCATATTTTAAATGAAATATGCAAACAAGCTGATTGTTTCCGGAAAATGAGCCAAGACAAATATGGTGACGGACGTGATATAAATTCGTTGGAAGACTGCATGGAGGAACTAAATCGATTGAAAGACCTGTTAAAGCGTAGGGATTCTCAACTATGCAAGTTGCTCGACGAAAATGGACGTTTGAGTGATGCTGCTCGATTGAGCGGCAAAAAGCTTGATGACTTAGGAGATAAAGTTCGAGAACTTGACAGGGATACAAGACAAATGGAAGATAGCATGCGAGAGAGTGTTCATTTGCTTAAGGATATAGGAGATGTGGCCAAAGCAAACGAAAGTCTTAAAGATCAAGTTGATGCAATCAGGGATTTGGATATGCAAAAGCTTTTGGACGATCTAAGAGCACAGTTGGAAGCCGCGAAAGAAAAAAATCGTCTGTGCCAGGAGCAAAATGACGCATTAATGGAACAACTCAAAGACCTCGGAGGAGATCCTTCAGCTATAATAAGAGAGGTTGCAAAGAAACAGGAGGAGGAGAAGAAGAAAGAGAAAGAAGCTGAAGAAGAGAAGAAGAAAGCTCGTGAAGCTGAAAAAGCTGTGGAAGAGCTAGAGAAAGAACCGGAAAAAGTTCCAGAAAAAGAAGCCGAAAAACCAGCTGAGAAACCAGCAGACAAACCAGCAGAGAAACCTGCAGAAAAACCTGTAGAGAAACCAGTAGAAAAACCTGCAGAGAAACCCGATGAAAAACCTGCAGAAAAGCCAGCAGAGAAACCTGCAGATAAGCCTGTGGAGAAACCTGCAGAAAAGCCTGTAGAGAAACCCGCAGAGAAGCAAGCAGAGAAACCAGTTGAGAAACCAGCAGAAAAACCAGCAGAAAAACCTGCAGAGAAACCTGCAGAGAAACCTGCTGAAAAACCTGCAGAAAAGCCAGCAGAGAAACCTGCAGATAAGCCTGCAGAAAAGCCAGCAGATAAACCTGCAGATAAGCCTGCAGAGAAACCGGCAGAGAAGCCTGCAGAGAAGCCTGCAGAGAAGGCTGCAGAGAAGCCTGCAGAGAAACCTGCAGAGAAACCGGCAGAGAAGCCTGCAGAGAAGCCTGCAGAGAAGCCTGCAGAGAAGGCTGCAGAGAAGCCTGCAGAGAAACCAGCTGAGAAACCAGCTGAAAAACCAGCAGAGAAACCTGCTCAGAAACCAGCAGAGAAACCTGCAGAAAAACCAGCCGAGAAACCCGCTGAGAAACCTACAGAAAAAACACCTGAGAAACCTGAACCGAAACCAGCAGAAAAACCTGCAGAGAAACCAGCTGAAAAACCAGCTGCTAAGCCAGTAGAAAAGCCTGCAGAAAAACCTGTTGAGAAACCAGCTGAAAAGCCAGCAGAGAAACCTGCAGAGAAACCTGCAGAGAAACCAGTTGAGAAACCAGCTGAGAAACCAGTAGAGAAACCAGCAGAGAAACCAGCAGAGAAACCACCAGAAAAACCAGCAGAGAAACCTGCAGAGAAACCAGCTGAGAAACCAGCTGAAAAACCAGTAGAAAAACCAGCTGAGCAACCAGCAGAGAAACCAACTGAAGCACCGGTTGTGGAGCCACCCCAGAAACCAGCCGAAAAACTGGTGGAGGAAGCAATTAAGGAAGCTCCAGCTCCTCAAGCAGGAGCCGCGCAACCTGCTGGAAGTGCAGCTGAGAAACCAAAAGCACCTGTGCCAGCCGATGCAGCTGGACCTCAAAAAGGACCTGGACAACAGGCAGGACGACCCGCACCCGGACGTGCTCCGCAACAAGCAGGTGCTGGTGCAGGACGCCCTGCGACATATGGAGCTCCCAAGGGGTCTGTTGGTCCAAAAATACAGTTTGAAGGTGCAGACGAAGGGGAAGATCATGCCATAACTGGGATAGGTCGGCCAATTGCTCCAAAGCGCAAAGCTGCAGCTAAGCCCAGCAAAACGATAGATGAAGCTACTGATGAACAGTTCAACTCCTTTGTGAGGCAAACTGCAACATCGCTTTCTGCTGGTGAGATCGATGGTATCGGCCTAGAGAAGGAGTTGCGTAAAATTTTAGACATGTTTATCGAAGAGTGTGGCTTTTGTTTTTGCAAATGCAATATTCCCAAAAGTCGTTTCTATGCTACCTGTCACAAGCTATATCATCATGGTTTGCACACACTTGACTTCAAGGACTTGGCTTATATGCACAAACGAATCTACGCCGCGGCAGATAATATACTACCAGGATGTCTTTTTAATATGATAATGAAGGACATGGAAGCAGTCAACAAGTCATCCCTTAACATTCAGCGGTGTTGCACCTGCAAGAGTGCCCTCTGCTGTGACCCAACCGAGGAAAAACTCATGATGAAAGGTACGTATTTGGCTATTCGATAATGGGTTTGCAATAAATGTTCCACTATTTTTCTAAAGTTATGCGATTGGAGCAAGATATTGAAAATACCAAGCTTTGTTTGCAAAATTTGAAAACTATTCCATCGGATCTGTCCATCCCATCGTTCCGTATTGAGGCAGGCGACTGCTCTATTTCCAAGTATGTATAACAGACATCTGTTTTTCGATTTAAGAATATACTACTTATCTATTTCAGGGAATTTATTATCAATCACATACCACGGTCACCGACCAATTCCAGCCGTATTCCAAGTATGGAGAGCAAAGACTTACTTGTCCTCACGCCGATGCCGACTCGCTCCAAGAAGCAAACTAAGCAACAAAAGGTGCGTGTACATGTACGAAAAGCATTGCAATTGTTGATAAATATATGTATTTACTAACGTTTCGTTCATTCTTTTTAGGCCCGACCTGCATCTGCACAGAAAAAGTTCTAAGCTGTTCCATAATGTTCTATATACATAAACATATTTTTTGTATTATTTTTGTCTTATGAATGATTGGGCTGTGTTTGGAAGAAAAGCTGTGTCTGAAAACTGTAAAGAACAATTGCAATTGAAACTTTAAAAAAATCTTGTGTGAATATTAAGTGTTAAGAGTAAAATATAATTCTAATTAGACCAGTAGATAATGGATGCGAACTATTTTTAAAATCGATTTATGACACAATTAATCGATACATTTTAATAGTCGTTTTAGTACAACATAAATCGATACATTGGTATTTGATAACAATCAGCTGTTAGTTGTGTGCCGATAGCACATGTCCACTGCCTGATTGTGTAAACATTCATTTCTCTTCTATATCCTACAAATTTACAATGGAAAAGGTAGTCGCAGTCAGGAACTGTTTGCGCTTCATGCAGGTAACAAAATGAATTGCAATTAAGCAGCAGTAACTTTCACGTAAACGTATATTTTTATTGAAATTTAAGCTAGTTCCACAGTCGGCAATGTTGGCGCCGGGTGTGCAAACTATGCAGCAGGTGCGACATCGGCAAACCAAGCACTGGAAACCTGAGTTCAAACGATTCCGCAAGCTGAAATTCGTTAAACTAGATCTGCCCAATTTGCGCGAGAAGAGCGAAGATATTTCCAAAGAGGAGATGCGCAGTCGTATGAAAGAACGTGGCGTTCTGCCACCACGACCCTGGATGGAACGCCCTTTTCACATAAGCTGCACGGGAGGCATATTTGAAGCGTATGTGCCACCCGAGGGCGATGGCAAAAAGTCGATCATTTCAACATCCGGGGCAAAGCAAAAATTTGAGTTTCTGGAAAAAAAGTCAAAGAGCTTAATGGCTGTGCGAAAAATACGAACCTACGATGAAAGTTTTAGCACCGATGAGTTCGGCGCTCACGCTCAAGAGGTTTACATAGCTGCGCACACTCACATGGCGGCCAAGGAAAAGTATAAGATACGGGAATACGTCAGCGAACGTTGCTATCCAGAAATGATGCACAATGTCAAGGACAAGACAATTCACTGGCGTTTTCTGCAGTCACTGGAGCCCCCGCGTGTGGTGCACGCCCGCGTCACTGAGGTCATTACAAAGGAGAACCAGTTTGCACAAGTCACAGTACGCTTTCATACACAGCAAATGTTGGCAATATACGATCGCTTTGGTCGTCTAATGCACGGTAGTGAGATTGTTACCAAGGACGTGCTGGAGTATGTGGTCTTTGAGAAGCACATTTCAAATGAATATGGTAAATGGCGATTGCATGACAAGATCATACCAGATTGGTTGCCCCCCAAGGAGCCGGCGCCCATCACCTATCGTTTAATCGAGGAGGCTGATGAGGAGATAACACAGCCCAAAGAGTTGGGCTTAGCAGAGCCAAATAAACAGCTCGAAGCTGGCACGGAGCAACAGCAAAAGGAGCAATTGCAAGTGGCAGCCACTAGTAGCGTAAGCGAGGAAATCGAGCGGAGCGGCAAACCAAAATTGGCCATTTGATTGTATTTTTTGTGGGCTGCTTGGCGGGTCAGATCGTTGCGCTTTAATTTTGTACAGCACCGTTGAGACTTGATCATAAAAATCCATCTGCTTAGTCCACACATCTTGTTTTTACGAAAAGTAATCCTTATCTAGATTGCAACTTTTCGGTTTGCCTAAATAGGTGCCTTTCAGCTTGTATAAAAGAATGAACATTGACATTAAAAAGGTTTAATTTGTTTATTTTATTTAACTACTACATTATATACTCTTATATGCACGTGGCTATATGTATATTTAGTTTAATTTTCACCATTCACTTTCCAAATCGAGCTTATAGCGTGGATTCATACAATAGTTTATACATCTGGATAAATTATAGAAACGATTTTCATTGCCCCCACATCCAGAGTAGTCCTTTTGAACACAATTATCGTAATTAAAATCATAATAGTACACTTTTCTCCAGTTGCTGCATCGTCCGGTTGTAAATGGCATTGTACAGATGGCTGTAAGATATTGTTGTAAGTTAGAAGGCCCTAGCTGAAAAGTTGTAATTAGCGTAGTTGTTACTCCGTCTTAATGTGAGTTCTTCCTCATATGATAGCACTGAGATGGTCCACACCAAAGGTAGAAATGCTGTCAAGGACAACAATAGCTTCATCTTAAAACTTCTCCAGTTGAGTACTGAATAATGGGGACGTTGAACACTTGCTTATATAGTTGACGCCAAATCAATTAATTGCAGCTTTGAAATTTGAAAATGTGTTTTCGGCTTTTAGTTACATAAGTAGAGACGTAATCGTTCATTGTTGAAATTTGAAAGCAAAGGCATGCTGAACATTATAACATGTATGCATTGGCTAATGTCTTTATATTGCTGGTGTTTTGAAATAAAATCAATCGTTATTTTAATATAAGTAGGATCTGAAATAGAAATTCCTTCAATCGAAGAATTGTGAATCACTGATTGCCAATTTCTGAGACCACCTTTGAAATCTGTTGCTGTAAATGCGGCCACTACATATATATTTAAATATCAACTTAGAATTTATTTCAATAATGCAACTAGTTTATGCAGCTAAAAAATATGTATAAACAAAATGCCTGATAAAGTCGATCGATTGATTCTGTATATCTGAATAATCCTCAAGATCAAAATAGTTTGGAAACCTGAACTTTTTCCAAAACAGCATAATCTTCATGGCTGCAAAAAAATAATCAAAATCAAGCGTAAATAATAATTATTTATTTTACAACATAATAATTTTACATGCAAGTAAATTCATATGTTTTTAGTTTAAAGCTTAGTGCACCTAAATTTAAATACAGACACACGTTCAGTGCTACTTGTTGAGTGTTTAGTCATGGTCGGTGTATTAGATGAATAAATATTAGAGTGGTCCTGCTTTCTTATTACATATCGTATGCGTGTAGTATTTATTTAGGGGTATGTACAATTGTTGAAATTAAAAATCATTCGAAAGGCGCCTCAAACAAAGCTGCTGCTGGGCTCCTCCAGATAGGCGCAGCGAGCATTTGTTTGCTCCAGTGCCTTGTGACTCATTTCCAGTGGCAGCTTGGTGCCGAACGATATGGGTAATGTTGCAGTCGCCGGAGGCGATGATGTCTGATTAACGGGTGAAAATTTGTTGCTATAGGTGCTGCCCGTTGGCGACGTATTTACGCTCGCAGCTGTCACACCCCAGTTGGATGGTTTGATGGGCAACACCTTTGGCTTGGGCGGCAAGGGTGGCGGACCACGTGCGTAGCCGCCATTAGCCAGCTCAATCGTATCGCTCTGTGTTATGGCCTCAGTCTGCTGCTCCTCCTCGACATCCACTTTCATGGGCGATACACATGACGCCTTCTGATTGCGTGTGATCGAGAGACGTGGCGCTGGCTGCGGTGCTTCGGGGGTAGGCACGCTCCCATTGCTGGCTGTGGACGATGCGGCTGCAGTCTTATTAATGGGACTCAAGTTTGCGCGCACCTTCCGTAGCCTGGAGGCTGCTGCACTGAGATTCTCCTTATTCTTTAAAAAGTCGGGCAATTCAAAATTGATTTCAGTGCCACGCTGATCTTCAAGACGAGCCAACTGGGCGCGTTTCAGGCCTTCGAGTAGTTCATCTGGAAAGATAAACGAATAAAGGTGAGTGTGTTTCGCAAGGGATCAGATATGAGGTGGTACTTTCTGCGTGAAGCAGAGAAGCTAGCTACTAACCTTGATGCTCCGCTACTCGCTCCGTCACCTGCAGTTTTACGCCCGCCTTCAGCTTTGCTATGATGGGCTTTTTAGGATCCACCAAAAGTGTTGGCGTGATTAGCGATGGCGATGTTGTCGGTTGTGCTTCCTCGGAATGTTGGCTGCTGGTCGATTTCTTCTTGAGCTTCGGCAGTTTGCTGCCTGGAATGTTGCTGTTCTCCTGCTGCTGGCGCCTCAAAAAAGAAGATGTCTCCGAGGGCGTCTCGTCGTTCGACTTCATGGAGCACAGCTCGCTGGACTTTTGTTTATCGCTGGCACAGGCCTCAACCTTGCTTTGGAGCAGTTCATTGAACACCTTATTGGTTATCTCGTCTAGCTTGCTTTGTGAGGCAACCACTGCTGGAATGGAGGTGGTGCCGTTCCGTTTGACTGTGACGGATGTGGTTGCCGGTGCGGCGGGCAGCGGCTTCATGGGTTTGTTGAGCTTCGGCGGCATGTTAGTGCCGCCGCCTAGCTGAAAATCCGACTGCAACAGAACGATTTGTAAGCGCAGACCATCGGCCATCGTAACCGGCTGCGTAAGATCAATGGGCGCTTGCGTGTCACGCACGAGCACCTTCACGTTGCTCATACTGTAGTTGTACTTGTGCAGAATGGGGCGAATGACCTCATGCAGCTGCTTCTTGGGCTTGCTTTTCACGGATATCACCTTCGGATCGGGCAGATCGAGCTTAAAAGCGACGCGTCGCTCAATCGAGACCTCCTTGCCGGCCAATACCTGCGACGGAAGCTGGGTATCTATGGACTTGCTGCTGCCATGATACACAATATCATAGTAGGGGTAAACAAGGCCGCGCTTCTCCAGCAAACGTTCGACCAGCTGGCCAACTGTTTCTTCGGGCCGTGTCTGCACTATGGTTGTGGCTCCGTCCGTCAGTATGACGCGACAAAGCGAACAAACGCTCTCTGCACTGGCACCTTGGCCAGCTCCTGCATCAAAAGAGGACAGCGAAGAGCGCGAGCTGTGCAGATCGGTTTGCGAATTTTGAGTGGAGGCTATCTTTAGAGAGCTGCTCGACAGCACGCTCAATTTGTTGGCAAGAGGAGGGGGAGGTGGTGGCGGTGCTGGCATTAGTGTTCCTGCTTCATTACGGTCACGCGACTTACTGCGTGTTTTTCTATGCCACGGTAGGAGGCTCTTACGCCGACGATCCTCGGCATTGCTGGCGGACTTTTTCAGCTGAAACAAAAACAAATTAAATACTATTAATATGAGATGTTTAATTAAAACACTTTAAGGAATTTTCGACCGAAGAATATTGCTCGTCTCAAGCAACTAGAAAATTCTGGCCGTAAAGTAAACTCACCTTTGACGAGGCGGCCATGTGAAAATTTGTCTTGAGTAAATCATCAAGATCGGTGCCATTGAAGGGTAGCGGTCGCTGCTTCTGTTCCGCCTCCACACAGCTCTTGTAGAGATCGGAGCGTATGAATCGCTGATAGCTGTCGAACTTCATCAGATTGAATATTTGTTTCTGCGCATGCGCAAAAATATCGGGCGCTGCACTTTGCAGCTTCTCCTCAGTCAGGTTCCGGGCCTGCGAATCCACATTAACCGGATCCGTGCTACTGTTAGCCAAATGCTTGGCAAAGATCTCACGTGCCTGACTCGCACGTTCTGCCTCCGACTCTAGCAGACGATAGCGCTCACAGGCTGTCCAAAAGTAAATGTTCTCTGCAGAGAACTCCTTCTTGAGGAACTCGGCAAAGGTCTGCATGCCAGCTGGATCTTGAAGCATGCGCTCGAAGGAACCACCCCAGGAGGAGGGACTGCAGGGGCCGCTCAGCTCACTGGTGACCAGCTCATGTGTGGATTCGGCAGCTGCTGCAGCACTAGGCGCCTCTGTAGTGAGTATTTGCGGCACTTGGAGCGCATGCCCCAGCTGCTGCTGACTGCGCGCCTGCTTGAGCTTGAGCTCATTGAGCAGAAAGAAGTTGCCAGCACCGAGGGTCTTGAGGCACACATCATTATCGGATGCTGTCATGGATGCTGTGCGACGCACTAGTGGGCTGCCGGCGTTCTGCTGCTGCTGCTCTTGCTGCTTGGCCACCTTGTCGGTGCGCGGCGTGCGAAACGAAGACTGACCCCAGGCGCGACGAAAGGGCGAGGCATTGGCGGGCAGTGCGCGGTTCTGTAAAAAGAAGAGATACAAATGAGGAGCGCTGGTTAGTTGTGCATTCAAAAATCAGAACATAGAAAACAACAAGGGTAAAATGGTTATTACTATTCTTCATGACAAGACGAGTCGATATGGGGATGACCGTCACTCCGTCCGATTGGTTGAACGCAAGGATCTCTAAAAGTTTGAGAGCAAGAATAACCAAACTCGATATCCAGATTGTGTTTTTATTTATGCTTCATACCACTGCCCCTCTATAAGTAACTACATATTGCACCCCTATTTAAAACAATTTTCTAATAGATGTATTAATGTATCCTAATGTTAAGTTTCATTGTCATACGAAAATTGTAATGAAAGTTGCTGAAGTCAGGATACTCTTGTTGTTGCTATTTATATTTCCGATAAATACTGACACGCCTCGAAACATATAAGTCAATTATTGAATATACTTCCAGGCGCGATTTAAAATTCAAATAAGATACTTGTAATCCTGGTATGTTGTTTTTTTTTATAGAAAATTGCTGCTTGGTTTTCTCACAGCGTGAGTTTGTGAAGACACTACAAGCCTTCCTTCCATCTTTTCCCACACCGAATACCAAAACTAAATATTGTAAATGGGGTTGTTATATAAATTAAGAGTTGCAGGAATACCCCCTAGCTTAATTGTTTTTGAAGATTGAAACGATTTTTTCATTTCATATCAATTATGAGAACCATTTTTTTGCGACATGCCCATTTTGAAGGGTAGAACTATTTACTGTTTTTCAAATATGGCAAACGCTTGCGATGCATTATATTTTGTGGGCGTACATTGTGTGTTAATAATAAATACAAAAATGTGTGTATGTATGTATGTATGTATTTTTTAGTTCAACTAGCCAGCTCGTTAAAAAATTTCATGGGCAACTCTCATTACAAATTATGGAGATGTGGAAGCACTATGTATACATACATATATACATGTATGCTTCATTATCATGGCCAAGCAACGACGACACGATAAACTTTTGAACTTTTGGAGTTCCACTTAGTGGGCATAAATTTGTTATGTGACTGTGACTGAGTCTGTGTGTATGTGTGTGTGTGTGTGTGTTGCATGACGCATGACCAGCCAGATCCGAGTCGAGCCGAACGAGTCACTTAAATAAATGCCATGTGCTGCGCCTCTATTCTAATTGTGTGAACAAATTTTCAAGTTTTCTATGTGAGTTTTCCACTTATTACACTCATTGTTGGTGCTGCTGTCATTGACTTGCTTAAGTCGCTCCCCTCCCCCTGCCCCCTGCCCATCATTCCATTTCTCTTTCTGCCAATGAGCCTGCTAATCAGCTGTCGGACAAACGCCAGCCGCCCGACTACATATTTATGTTCATGTATATATGCTTATGTACATTTCCCAGCGACTTTCGTTAAACCATGTTCTTCTAGCGCTTCTTCCCCCTCCTATTCTTCGGTTTCTACCACTTTTCTATGAAGATTAATGAATACACGGCTTCTACAAGCCATAAACGGTTTGTTTACAAGTTCGAGAGCTCAGGTTGCGCAGAAAACAGAGACCGACAAAACCAATATACAGATATACATATACATATGTACATATATACACATCTGTAGCATGTATAGTATGTTTTTATGAACATCCATTTGTAATAATCTGCGTATAGTATGTTCATCAAAATAGACATTATTGGAAAAAAGAGAAATTTGATTTGTGTATTTCCGTTTGGCTTAGAAGGCCAACCGTAATTTACATTCATTAATAAAAATCAATTTGTGGAATTAGAAAAATTTAATAAGCGTTCGTGCTGTATAAGCTTGCTTGTAAAAGAACCAGCTAAACAGATCTAGTAGTTTTTATAAAACAAGATCTCTTGCACAATGCAAAATTCCATATTAAAGTTTCAAAAACGTTGATTAATAAATCGATTGAAATAGTTGCACTTATACTTATAGAAATGATTCGCGAAAATAGTTCCAGAAGCCTAGAAGTTCTAAGTTCCACAAAAGGGTGCCAATGTTGTGCTTTTGTTTGTGCGACTAGAGGCCAATTCCACCAAATGACGAAAAATACAAAAAAGCACTTGATAAAATTTAATGGGCAAGTGCGCTTATCACACAGAATGTCATCAAAATTGGGTCGAAATGCACACAGACCGACTGTGTGTGGGAGTGACGAACGCACTTTAAACAAGACAGAATGAAACAGTCAGGCAAGCCCGACACTGTAATACCCTATACCAAAAAAAGTTTGTTATACACGCATAGCAGCAGCAAAAAAAGGAAGTGAAATTGTTTCACTTCAACTTTTCATAGAAATAACCGATTTTCATTAAATTTAACACAGGTAGATAATTATTTACGTATGGAAAGTTTTATTTTTATTAGCAATCCAACAAATTAAATAAGCCCGTATTGCCTAGGAATTAAGAGTTTCAACATACCATTTTTGGTCAACATAGGATCAACCGATTCCGAAATCTTAGCGTTCATCCATACAGACGGACAGACAGTGATTAATTAAGAATTTATGTATATACCTAATGAAGTCGGAAATGCTTCTTTCTTTTCACAAATCGGGTACAGGGCATAGCAAGAAAATGCTCAAGCTACAGTTTTTGTTTTCGGATAAGACAGCAACATGCTCGTCTGTGAAAAATGGCGCAATGAGGAGACACAGTGTGGGGCAAATGCAGGGGCCAAACATTTTGAAATAAAACCGAACAAAACAAGCAACAACATTAAAAAAGACTATATGGTGCATATGTATGAACATATACATAGTACATACTTGTAAGTACTACAACACAACAATACAGACAGACAAGTTAATGCAGCGAAGCGTTTATAAATCAGCGTTGAATGCCGAACAATGCCCAAAGCTGAAGCCATGGCTTGGTCGCAAGGGAGCTCCTCCAAATGCTGTCTGTGTGTGTGTATAAGTAGGAAATGAGCAATTTGCCAAAGTAAATAATTAAAATAAGCGAATGACAACAACAAAAAAAGTGAGCGAACCAGCGAAGAGGCAGTAACAACGCCCTGTGCGTTACATTTCACAAATTGTCGAACAAAACCGCAACCGTTGCGAATGAAAATTGAAAAATTGACAAACCGACCGAAGTGGAGGCAAAAACAATCCACTAAGCGAGCAAAAACAAAAGAAACCAAGCGATCAAATCACTGATTGCCTTCATACAGGGTGGCTGATAACTGCCTAATCACATTCGCATTTTAATAAAGCGTTGCTAATCGTTTCAATTTTTATGAGAAATAATTACAGCTAGCTACTGCTACGAGTATATCCATAATCCATCAAAAACAATTATTTTCAATCAATGGTCCTTAAAAAACGATCGATTGATCAGCCGCAAACAAAACTGGCGCGTTTCTTGAATAGATTTTCATTCTTACTGTTCTTTAAAGATTTACTGACGAAACTATGGGTTGGAATAGTTGAACTATATAATATTTGCTAAGCGTCACAATGTACGATTCTTCAACTTTTATAAGGGAAGTACATATGTAATAGATTAATGAAACATCAGTCTTTGGATTTTCTTCTCAATCAATTCTCTACACAGATACGAGTAATCTAATAACAGATCAGAGAAACTACTTTATTGCAAGCATTTTTTGAGAGCTAGCAGTTGGTGATATCTATAGGGGACCTGTATTAACTGTAATCAGCTAAATGGAAATCAGCTTTGGGGAACTCAATCTGCAGGATGACTACTGGGGTCGAAGATGGGGGTATGCATTAAGGAAATATCTGTATCATCGCAATATATGGGCGAAAAAACTAGTCTCTTTCCTAGTTGGTCAGGTGTGGCCATCAAGCGATATGCAATAACCATGTGACGAACAAATTAAGAAGTATGTAAGCAACTATCACCGCCCACCCGGTATTAGCATACATCCACACATTTATATCGAAAGGCATATTTATAAAGTATTCATGAATTGCTAACCGCTTCGGATATTTCTCTTAATGCTTCAGTGGACACTGACATCGACTTTTATGCGCTGGGTACATTCACATTAGCATTTACATGAATGCCTCACTATTGTGGTTGATGTTCGATATTAAAGTCATCATTATAGCCATAACCGTCGTCATAATAATCATCTCCAGCTTTGCCATCATCATCATAGGCGAAGTCATTGCGCTGAGTTTGCAGTTTCAGTCGCACAAACAAAACAAAATCCCACGAGTAAATTATCTTTAATGCTTTGGCTCAGGTTTCCTTAAGGCTGATGGAGCTGTTGTTGTTGGTTTTGTGTTTTTTAAGCTCTTTTTTCACAACACTCTTTGATATTTTCTTTAGCAGTCATGCATTAAGCATGCGGCTTTATGCTCAGAACTTAATCGCCAGCAGGCGGCCCTTTGGTGTTAAGAATATGAGCTAATTCGATATATAAGTATAGCTGCTGCCATATATAAAATCAGTTGTCATTTGATACACAAAGAAACCAGGCATGTGGCTCCAGGGTGGCACTTCATTAGCCTCATCTTGTAATTAAAGCCCGCCTCTGTGCCTGAAGTTGGAGCCACCTCGTGTGGGCAAAAGAAAACTCACAACATTTTTGCCGGTCTATTGGACTTGACGTTACACTAACTGTGAGTGGTAATGGGAAAGTCACAAATTAGATGATGTGGCTCGTTGTCGGAGATATGTGACGTAAAGTTGTATGTCTGATAAGCCCATATGACAACTGTTTTGGTAATGGACTTTAAGTTCCTCAAATTGAATCAGAATCAGCAAAGATTTTCAAGCGACCGCAAAAAGAGGATACGTAAAAAGAATGGAGGAAATTGAAATTTGCATTTCTTTATATTAGTAAATGAAATATTTTAATGCCCCAAATAGAAGCCTCCTCAATATACACCTTAATGGTTTCAATCAAAATCTAAACGAATATGAGAAAGAATTCTGAAATAACTCTCTAATTTAATTCCCGTATATTTTGTTTTGTCTCTAAGTCATAATTGATAAATAAATAATGCTCTAAAA